CATGCAACCAAGTCAGAACATCTTTTTACATGGATTCATCACACCAAATGTCGGTGGTAAATGTAGCACCACTGTGACTGTTGGTTATACCCTGTTCACGAGAGACATACCAGTGGAAACAGATCATTCACATGTGCCTTTTTGTTTGTGATGGAATCACTGTGAATATCAAAATAAAAAAGTCCCCAAAATTTATGTGTGTATTTGGGTGGGCAGGTTGGTGGACTTGAAAGAAAGAGACCAACAGACAGACAATGATTTGATTGGGAGAAACTAACAGCCATGTTCAGTTTATTTTCAAAAACTCTTGAGAGAGACAGAGAGAGAGATGGAGGGAGAAACAGCAGCCTTTCCTAGAAATCATATTGGAACATCATGCATTTTTCCCGTTATTCAAAGTGATTATTCTGTACCTTTGTTCCTGGAATTCAAAGACAGTATCCATTTTAAAATAGTATCACAGTGCCACCTACTGGGAAGAACACAGATTGCAGAAAAGAAGGAAAAAGTGATTGTACACGAGAGCAGAGCAAGGAGCCAAAAGCAACTTTTGCAATGACATCTATTTTGTCTTGATTTGATGTGGATGAGTGGGGATTGGAGTGAAGGGGGGGGCAGAAATGGAGAGTTTAGCAGATAAAATTATACAGTACCCATGACAAAAATGAATGAAAATATGTTATCACTTTCTGCAACACAACAAAATAAACTTAAGACTACAGTGTTAAACTTTAAAAGTACAGAAAATTACCGTAGATGCAAAATAATGAGGAATATAGAGGAACAGAATCATTGGCCTTTAATAACAAAACTTTTTTCCCACTTGGGTGTTTCGTTATTGCTTATGAAGCTGAACATCCCACGGTAGGCAGTAACAATCATCCAACTGTAGTTGTGTATCAAATTATTCCAAGTTCTTCACAAGCAAAATATTGGCAAGAGAAAATGGTATTGACTTAAATGGACAGAGCCTCGTTTGGAAAGCAGAAATAACTTGCTGAATGGCTGGGCCAAGCTTTCTGACCCAAATACTGTTGACCAACAGCAAGTGGCTGTTTCTTTTATCAGATTATTGGCTCTGAGACTTGAAATGTACAAGTTAATTGTGTATTTATTTATCTTAAACACAGGCAAAGCATGAGCCACAAGCCTCACACAGCTCCCCAGAGCCCCCACTGTAGCATCCTTATCCCTCAAGAATTCATACACAGAAAAGATGCAAGGGGGCTTTACAAATTAAATGTTTTTTAATGGGAGGGTACACTGGTGCATCCCTCCAGGGTCCATGGGGGACGTCTATCTGTATGTTGATTTGCCTAACTAAGAAGTCCATTTGCATATTGACTTCTTCCCCCAAAAAATACCCAAGGCTGTGTACATGGGATTTTCAGGAGATGAATTTGTTTAGCTTCAACAAGTGGCTGAATCATGTGCGTTCTCAATGCAGACTATTGTACAATGTGCTGAAACCTTACAAAAGACTGCATTGGATGGACAAAAGAATCTCTGTAGACCTCTGTGATGTATCTTTTCCAGACATTTTGAGTGATGTCATAGCAGCAAGTGTTTTTAAAGAAGGAGGCATGGGATTGCAGCTGTATAAGTACCCCTTGTAAAGACAATTTGCTATTTAGGTAACAGAATGCAGGAGCCAGTGCCAGAAGCTTAAGGCCATAAAAAAACAGAAGTAAGGATAGGTGTTTATGGTAAGGTAAGGAGAAAACATTAAGTTTATTGTTTTAAGAAATCCATTCAAAGATAGGGCAAAAAACAGCAAGAGGATTCTAGAATCAGTTACAGAAGATCTAGTAACCCTTAAAGTATAATCTGTGGATGTGAGTATGCTGATAGCCATGATAAAGAAAAGAAGTTTAACTACCTCTCTCTAAAAAGGCAGGAGAAAGATTAACTAGACTTAAGAAAGTAAAAGGAATGAATAGTTACTTAGAATCAAATAAGATAACACACTTTGCACATATCTAGAAATGGTGTTCCCTCAAGTAGTAAAAACTGTTTGCTTGCCATAGCATATACTTTCCCTTATCTATGAACCTTGCTGTGTTTTATGATTGGTCACTGAAAGGTCAATTCATGCTTATTTTCCAGGTCTGATTGCTAAGGCATGCATCATTGAGAGAATCACATTTCTAGTGTATAATGTATCAATTGTAGAGAATGCACATTCCCCTGAAGATCAAGACTATTTATTTTATTTTATATAAAATATTTTTACCCTGCTGTTCTCCTTTAAAAGGACCCAAGGCAGCTTACATCATTAAAAGACAATCTTTAGAAGCTAAAAACAGTAACTATATAAAAACATTAGAACAAGAATTAAACAAATATGATATTAAAAACGGTAAATAAAATCAATACCAAAGCACATTTTAAACAATAGAGCACAACAAGCCATTAAAAAAAGCCCTCAGACCACCGGTCATTAAGAAAAAGGCTGCCTCATTTATTTGTTATTAAACAAACAAATTTCAAACCAACCAATCAACCAACCCACCCTCTAGGTCTGACCAATTTCAAAGCTTTTTATTCTCACGGGTATCCATCACATCTAGTGGATTGTAGGATAGATCATACATCAGGGAAGGAATTTATATTATTCATTTTCTGGCTTCGAAGTTCAGAGGTGCCCTTCACGCTAAGTGTTTCTGCGATGCTGAAGTGCTAGTTTCATTGCTGCTCGGCTTTATTTTAGGTGTTCTGGGGTTTGAGTTGTGTTGCTTCGAATGTCGATGGGTTCTTTTGAGGAGTTCTTACGAGTTGGCGCCTGCTTTTCTTGTCTTTGTAGAACCCAATCGAGCCTGCCGAATCAGTTGAGACGCTAGCAGGTGTACCCGAGCACGTTCTGAAAGGACTTCCTGAGGAAGTGAGACTCCTTCCGTCTGCTGTTGACAAGACACGGCTTGGTAAGTGCATCTCGAAATATACCACATAAGAAGAGACCTCCTGGAACCAAAAATAAGTTGAACCAGGAGAGAAGGGGAAAGATGGAGAAGATGGCTCATGGGCTTCAGGTAAGAAGGGGCAGTCGGTGATGGTGAAGGCAAAGGTGGGCAGCAGCCAGAGAGAAGTCCCAAGACCACTTACAGTGACGTGACTAACTCAGGAGAAGTAGGGACCCAGGAAAAAGGTGGCGGTGCATTCTGGGAGCCCTTCTTTTCAGTGTTATCTTAGGTGTCATCAAGTCTGAACCAATTTATGGTAACGCCATAAAGCTTTCAGGGTAACTGAGACAGAAAAATGCCTCCAAGTGATGGCCTGTGCTAGCTGAATTCCTCTAGGTCCAGGAATAGGGCATGCACTAATGACATTTTTTTTCTCTCTCTCAGGTTTTTACTCCCTCAATTTTAAAATTATGCAAACTGGGTCTTTAGATCCTTGGATGAACCTTGCTGTGTTTTGATTTATGATTGGTCACTGAAAGGTCAATGCATGCTGATTTTCCAGGTCTGATTGCTAAGGCATGCATCATTGAGAGAATCACATTCCTAGAGCATAATGTGTCAATTGTAGAGAATACACATTCCCCTGAAGATCAAGACTATTTATTTTATTTTATATAAAACATTTTTACCCTGCTTTTCTCCTTAAAAAGGACCCAAGGCAGCTTACATCATTAAAAGACAATCTTTGGGTTCTTTTTTAGTAGAAGGCTGGGGAAGAAATATTTTAAATAAATAAATTGATGAACACTAACAACAGTGACTATACAAATTTCTTTAAAGGATCAAACAAATAGCATACTAAAAATGGTTACACAATCAACACCAAAACACATTCAAAGCAGTAAAGTATAACAATTGATTTAAAAAAAAACCCACTCAGGCAGCCAGACACTAAAGCAAAGCTTGCCTGGAGAAAAAGGTTTTTAACCTGCTTGTGGAAGGACAGCAAAGATGAGGCCAGCCTGGCTTCCTGTGGGAAGGAGTTTCAAAGTCTGGGAGCTACAACAGAGAAGGCTCTCTCCCATGTATCCATCAGATGCACCTGTGGAAGTGGCGAGACCAAGAGAAAGGCCTCTCCTGATGATCTTAACACCCAAGCAGGCTCATAAACAGAGATGTGGTCCTTGAGCTAGCTTGGGCCCAAGCTGTTAAGGGCTTTATAGATTAGAACCAGCACTTTGAAGTGTGCCCAGAAATGGACTGGCAACCATATATGCTCACCTGGCTTCATACTGCAACCCTCCTACTGATTGCCTATGATGTGCTGCTACCTACAACATTCTACATTGTTTTAATGTGTTTTAATTTTTGTAAGCCGCCCCGAGTAGACGTTGTCTAGAGGGGCGGGGTAAAACTTGAATAAATAAAAATAAATAAATAAATAAACATTGCTCCTTTAATATGCAAGCATTTCTTCGACCTCTTTTTCCTGCTAACTTTCCACTCCATCTAGTTCACCCATCCTTCTCACAGTTTCTAGGCTCTCTTCTTGCTTAGAAAATATTGGTCCATCTAACTCATCAAGGTGCATGTGGAGTGACTAAACCTCTCCATGATTTTAGGAGAGGACTTGTCTAGCTCTCTCTGCGGTTAGAGGGGTTGGATTTAGGATCTTTGGCATGCAAAGCAAGTGCTCTTTTGCTAAGCTCTGGCCCTTCTTCTTTTATTCCTCCCTTCTGTTTCATGGACTTCCTTTCCTTTAACAAACTTATTTTCTGTGCAGGCTGGTTCATTAGGGTAAATTGTGGCAATGCTTCACTTCACCTTCAGGCTGCAACTAGCCAGCCCACTTCTGCTTTCCAAAATCTGGAAGGACAGAGCTCTGCTGAACACTCTGCTTCAGAATCCATGTGAGTGGAGGGAAGTGGGGAAGAGGAGAGGAGAAAAGCAGCAGTAAACAGAAGCAATCTGTCCCCTTGGCTCTGCCCACAATTGGCTGCTGTACCTTCCACCCAACTGCTACCATTTCATCTTCTGATGAAGAGGATGTAACTATTTATTCTTTAATCTCATGTTTTGCTATAGAAATGAAAAGAGAACTTTCAAAACAACAAATATGCATTTTATTTATTTAACATATTTGTATCCAGCCCCTCAGTACAACAATGTCCAAAGTGACTAGCAATAGAAAAAAATCCAAAGCGACATCTCTCTCTCTCTCTCTCTCTTTCTCTCCCCCCACCCCCAGACTGCAACTCACAGAACTCTACTTTGCTAAGTACAGAGCATCTTACCAGTTCAGTTTCTCACTAGTTGGTACTGCAAATCAATAAATAGCCTAGTCTAGATATGAAGATAATTTAAGGCATGTGTCCTATGGAAGGAAGTTCATCAAATATACAAAGTTGTCTTGCCAAGACTGTGATAGCCCAGTAGTTTCATCCCAGCGGGTCCATTCAAAACCTGTGGGGAAATGAGGTATTTCATGGTTACCAATCCTTTTCTTCTTCTCTGGGGTCTTCTTCAAGAGTTAGACAGAGACTGCCCCAGGTACTATTCTGCGGATGTATGTGTAGGATTTCCGCAGAGTGACACTCCCATGATGGGAGACTCCTCTGGGCAGGACACACTCCTCTGTCAGTTTCTGTGTCTCTGCATCCCAGCATAACACTGTGGCAATGACTTCGTTCTTCTCGTCACGACCTCCAGTGATGAACAGCTTGTTGTTGCAAGGGGCAATCCCACAACTTGCTCGCTCTTGACTTAGCTGTGTTACCAGGCACCATGTGTCCATGACGGGGCTATAAGAGTAGATGGCCCTCATGGCCCCACCTGGAATTGGGGGGAAAAAGCAAATGATTCTTCTCAAAACTTGTTTCTTAATCAAACAGTCAACCTAAAGTCCAACTGGTTGGTGTCAAATTTGCAAGCCAGGAAGTATTACTCATCTTAGACTACAATTCAAGAATTTCTCAGTCAGCATGACTAGTAGCCATGCTAGCTGGAGTATTCTGGGAATAGTTGAGAGACATCCCTAGATCCTGGGGAAGCAGAGAACATTCATCAAAAGAACAAGGTGACAAAAATGTATAAAATTGCAATCCCTGTGAGAGAACTGATGCTGTACCTACCCACAACATATATGTGGTCATGGAAGCTTGCAGCATTGACACATTTTGCTTCAACAGGCATGGGTGCTTTTATGCTCCAGTGGTTGATAGCTGGGTCATAACACTGTGTTTTGTCGGTTGCCAACTTTCCATTGGGTCCTCCTCCAATCACATAGAGTTTCTTCTTGCAAGTGGCTGCCCCGAATGAGCTCACACTCAGCAAGAGTGGAGCTGCCTGTATTAATTCCAAGCAAAAAAAAAAATCATTCAGAAACATGTTCAAGATTAATCTTTATTTTCTGCATTGTCTTCTTTGGGCATATTAGCACACTTCTGTTTTCTAATTTGTCACAAACTCATTCAGAAACATGTTCAAGACTAATCTTTATTTTCTGCATTGTGTTTAATAACTGCATGTAGATAATGCCCTCACTTCATTACCCTCCATTCTACACATGAGAAGGTGACAAGTGAAAATGGAGGGATATACAAATGAATTTAAGACTAAGGCAAGATCTTATCTAAGTCTTCTTTGGGCACATTAGCACACTTCTGTTTTCTAATTTGTCAGCTGGGAGATAGCGTAGCTCTGGAAGCAGATCTGATGTCCCAGGCCTGTTGTATGCTTGGAAAGGAAAAGTTGTAAGAGAAGGAAATACACATTTGTCTTAAATTGTGATCTGACTCTGAGATGAGAAAGGAGAAGTCAAGCCAGGGTTTCATAGCTAAACAACACAATGACTGAAATCCTGTTGTGCAGTTCTGCAAAGTGCCACTGATGAAATTGCTCAATTTCTAATTTAGGTTTTCCTTACTTCTCCTGAGGTAGGCACCCTCAGTAATGAGGCCTGAGAGGAACAGGTTTGCCAGATAGATATTATTGGGGTGAGACGCTTCAACAGGTAACGAGGTCCCAAACCATTAAGGGCTTTGTATGTCATATCCTTAAACCTGGCACAGAAGCTAACAGGAAAGCAGTGCAGATGAGCCAGGATTGGGGAGATGTGACTGAACCTCCTAGCCCCCACAATTAACCTGGCTGATGCAGTGTGGACCTGCTGAAGCTTCTGTACCATATTCAAAGGAAGCCCCACACAGGGGCCTTTGAAATACACATTGCAATAGTCTAGTCTCAAGATTACCAGCACGTGGATCAATATCTTCAGGGGTTTTTCATCCAGACAAGAGCGCAACTGGGTAATCTGACTAAGGTGGGAAAAGACATTCCTGATCACAGCTGAATTTTGATGTTCCATAGAAAGTGCCGAATACAGGATTATATCCAAGTTGCAAATCTTGTTTTTTAGGGACAGCATAATCCCATCGATACTTGGTAAATTATCCCCTAATCAGGTGTGAAACACCTTTCCCTAACAACATATCTGTTTTGTCAGGAGTCAGTATCAATTCATTAGCCCTTGTTCAGTCCAGTATCAAAGACAGGCAGCACTAAATGACATCCACTAAATATATAGTGGATCAAGTTCCTTTTCATTTTTGCATTCATATAAGCATACATGGCCATCACATGCAAGTAGTGGAGATTTAAATCTTTACCTAAACATTTTTGTCTTAAATTCTTCCATCCTGCAGGCATGCTAGGAAAAAAGAGGTTACTTACATGTAGCTCTGGTTCTTTGAGTGGTCATCTGTGAATTCACACTAATGGGTTAATCTGTGCCCTTGCAGAGCAGCCTCAGAATCTTCTAGAGCTCAAGCACATGGTGCCAGGACCTCCCACGTGCTACCTATAACCCTGCCCCAGCATCAAGTACCTCAGTTCCGAAGAACAGTCCACCGCTCGGCAGCATGCAACAAGGCACACATGACGGCTAGCGGGGAGGAAGGGTGGGATGTGTGAATTCACAGATGATCACTCGAAGAACCAGAGTTACAGGTAAGTAAACACTTTTTCTTCTTCGTGGTCTCTGTGAATGCACACTAATGGGTGATTAACAAGCTGACTTACCAGGGGGAGGGACGTCACGGAAGCACAGATGCCAGGACGGCACAGCCCATCGCAGCCTCCACCTTGGCCCGGACATCCAAGTGATAGCGAGCCACAAAGGTAGATGGTGTGGCCCATGTAGCTGCTTTACAGATGTCTGTCAAGTCAACTCCTCTCAGGAAGGCTGTGAAGGATGTGACAGCTCTAGTTGAATGTGCCCTTACAGTGCACAGTAAAGGCATGTTAGCCAGCTCATGTCAAAGGACCAAAAGATCTTCCTACCAGCAAGTTTGGATGCAACATCCACCACATCAACTGTGCCACCAGTTTTGCTGTGACCACAAGTGGTTTGATTGGAGGATCCTGCAACGGGTCGAAAGGTGACAGGTGACAGAACCTCATCTTCAGACTGGCATGCTGAACTACAGCTGTAGTGGAAAACCAGGCCTGCAAGAACCTCATCTTCAGATTGGCATGCTGAACTACAGCTGTAGTGGAAATCATAAGGCCTAAGAGATGCTGCACCTGAAGAGCTGTCACTCTGGCTCCTGGGAGAAAAAGTGCCACCATTAGCTGGATTTTTTATATCCTGTCCTCTGAGAGGAATGCCAAATCACAAGAGGCATCTAGCATTGCCCCAATGTACGAGACCCTCTGGGTGGGTTACAGGGTGGACTTCTCTTGGTTGACCTGGAGCCCAAGAACAGACAAAAGGGACAAGGCGAAGGATGTCTTTGTCCAATAGAGAACAAGATGGCGTCACCAGCAACCAATCATCAAGGTATGGGAACACCGTAATACTATGTAAGTGAAGATAAGCTGCCACCAGGGCCAAACACTCTGTGAACACCCATGGTGCAGTAAACAGCCCAAAGGGGAGTGCCTTGAATTCGTAGATCACACCCTTGAGGGAGAACCACAAGTAATGTCGATGCTCACGCCAAATGCTGATATGGAAATAGGCATCACTGAGGTCTATGACTGAAAACCAGTCTCCAAGGCTCAACATCTGGATGGTACCATTCAGAGAGACCACCCCAAAGCATCAGGGCATGATAGAGGAATTCAAGAGATGGAGGTCCAAGATGGATGTCCTTCTTCGGGATTGTAAAGTAGCGGGGAGCTAACTGCGAAATCCGGGTTGTGAGTCTGGACAATGGCATCTTTCTGTAGCAGAAAAGCCACTTCCTCTACCAACAGAGGTGAGAGGGTGGTGTCCCTAAATAACCCTGTGTAAGGTGGGGAGTCAAATTCAATAGCATATCCTGAGACAATAATGGTGAGAAGCCAGGAATCAGAGGTGATGAAGAGTTGCTGGTGGGCTGATGGAGTTAAAGGCTCTGCTTGGGCCTCTGGTCCGGGCAGCGAACCTGCTGGTGCAGCCATTGCCTGCCAGTCTGTTGTCAGGATGGACCTGAAGAAAAACCAGAGGCCTGTGGCCAGAGGCCAGTAAGAGAAGGACTGATGCCAGGAATTTCTTGGGTGGCTCTGCTGGTTACTGTAAGCCCTGGCCGTTTTGTGCAGTTTGAGGAGGTTGTTCAGGATCTCATCAGTCTTTTCATCAAAGAGACCTACCCCATCAAAGGGTAGGTCTTCGACCCTGGACCTCGCATCTTCAGATATTCCAGCCGAGCACAACCAGGCATGGCGGTGAAGAGTCACTGCCGTAGTTATTTGTTTTGATACAGCATCTACTAAATGAGCCTGGCTGCGATTCTCTCTTGCCTTGCTAGGGTCATAGCCTTCTGGTGGCAGTCAAGGCCTGACGCCCTGAGCTCCTCTGGGGCAGCTTGTAAACACTGGCAAGGCAGTATTCCAAATATGACATGGTACGCCCCCATTGCAGTGGAATAATTTGCCACTCTAAGGACAAAGGACGCCAAAGAGTAGATTCTGCAACCCAGAATGTCCAACTTCCTGCCCTCCTTATTATTAGGCATAGATGCCAACCTATTCCTTGCCCTATTCTGAGTGGCATCCACTAAAAAAGAATTAGGCAACGGATGCTTGGACAGAAAGTCCATATTGTTGCCATGAGTCTCCACTCTCCTAGATATTTGACCTGATGTAGAGGGCTTACTCTATGGCTCCCTCACTAATTTGAGGAGTGAGGAGATGAAGGCAAGGCAGAGGAGAGGAGACTGGTCCTGCGTAATATGTTCGTAAACCTTGTCCACCTCCTCCTCTGCAGGTTGTACAATTTTGTCAAGTCCATTACTTTTGCAATTCTGCAAATAAGGGGTGAATAGGCTGTGTAGTCCTCTGAAGGAGATGAAGGGTGGCTCTCTGCCACATCTGACCCAGGTGTGGGGACATTAGGAGGAGATTCTTTCTCGATGTCATCATCTGAAACCTCCGAGCCTCTGAAGGACTCATCCTCCCGGTCTGGAGACTGGGAGACCAGATGTCGGGCCCAAACTGGCCAATAAGGGTTGGGCTGAGTGAGATAGTCACTTGTAGTTGCCGGCGTAGGCCTCTCTGGTGATTCTGGCTGGGCAGAGGCCATACCCAGCCAGTGGCACATGATGGGTTCTCGAGGGGACAGGTGATGGAGGCTCCTCCAGCTCCAGCCTCTTAATGCCCCTACGCCAAGCCAGCACTTGTGGATATTCATCTTCCCAGTAGCTAAAATCACCATAATATCTCGGATGTCAAGGTGGTGAGGGCGAAGGTGAGTACTGCCCATAATACTGCAGCCACCAACAGTGCCAAAAAGAAAGCTCAGGGCCGTAAGGAGTTGGGTTCTGAGGATCAACAGGTAAGCCCGGAAAGATGGATATGACTCCAGTGTAGGTAGTCAATATCAGAACCCCTCGGGCTCACCCACAGGCTCCAAGTACCTGTGTAAGGAGCTGGGTTCTAAGGATCAACAGGTAAGCCCAGAAAGATGGATATGACTCCAATGTAGGTAGTCGATATCAGAACCCCTCGGGCTCATCCACAGGTTCCAAGTGCCTGGTCTTCTGTTCGTAAGGAGTTGGGTTCTGAGGATCAACAGGTAAGCCCGGAAAGATGGATATGACTCCAGTGTAGGTAGTCAATATCAGAACCCCTCGGGCTCACCCACAGGCTCCAAGTACCTGGTTTTCTGTTTCTTTTTCCTCAGTATCTCAGCTGCTAATGAAGCAGATGGAGAAGGAGATAGCCATCTTAATGCCAAGCCCAGTATTGAGGAAGAGCTGGCAGACGCCTCAAGCTGTACCTCCACCAAGGTATCCACCCAATCTGAAGAGAAACACAAGTCCGGAGATGCTGCAGTCACCGGTCTCAGAGGAGGCATATCCTCATCTCCCAATGGTATGCTGAGGCATATGGCTCAAGCTGAGCATGGGCCAAAGATGGTGGCGATGGACTGGTCTCAGCCGGAGCCCCAGACGGCTTCCCAGAAGACCTTTTCTTTTTCTTCGACACTGATGTTGAAGCCGGCCTCAACACTGACACCGAAGCAGTCAACCTCGAGCCTGAGGAAGACTCCTTTGTTGCCTTTTTCACCAACTTAAGTGAGTGGGCTGCCACCAAAGATGTCTCAGAAGGGGGAGCTTGTGGCAGATCCATGGTTGGGTCCCGAACCAGACACAGGGACTTTTCACAAAGAAAAGAGAGAAGGTGTTGGAGCCTTGGTTTTAATGCTGGCTTCCTAAAGCTCTTACAAGCTGAACACACAGCCAGTTGGTGCTCTTCTCCCAGGCAAAATATGCACTGGGAATGGCCGTCCAGTAAGGGGATTTTGTTGGAGCATGAAGAGCACCACTTGAAGGGGCCTGATAAATCTGCTTCACCAATCCAAAGAAATAACACAGTTTTCTTCTTTTTGCCAACTCACAAGTCTGAAGCAACATCAGAACAGTCCAAGGGTTGAAAACCGGGAGGTCGAAGAAGTAGAAGAAGAGAGAAAAAACCATGAACATGGTAGCTCCGATCCGAGAAGCTGCAGCAGCGGTGGCAGAAACTGAACTGAGGCATTTGGTGCTGGGGTGGGGTTATGGGTAGCGTGTGGGAGGTCCCGGCACCATGTGCTTGAGCTCTAGAAGATTCTGAGACTGTTCTGCGCAGGCACAGATTAACCCATTAGTGTGCATTCACAGAGACCATGAAGAAGAAATGAGGGAGGGGCTTCCACTGATAAAGGAATTCTCTGTCCCCTTTCAGCCCTCCCACATTGGTTGTGAACAATTTGGGGAGAAGAAAATAAGCTTGGGGGGGGGGAGAGTTACAACTCCACCAGATTCATACAATGGTCCTGATCTTAATTAGTGGCAACTCACGCTTACCTGAATGTAAAAAGAACATGACTAACATGACTCTAAATTGCAGGCTTGGACATCAGTAAAGTATAATTTAGTTTTCAGTTGAATCAGAAGGTATGTTTCTAATCTTAAGAAGAAAAAGCCCTCCAGGTTTGGCAACACACTTAATGTGGGAGTGAGAAAAAAAGGACATGAACAAACAGGAGCCTAAGGAGAAAACAAGGAAGGATGAGACTGTAATTGTTAAGTGAAAAGGCAAATGGAACTATTGTGGTTTTCAGAGGCTAAATAATGCATTGTGTTTTATTAATTTTTTTCTAAGGACATTTTTTATGTCCAGCTTTCTCCAAGAAGCTTGGGACAGTATACACTGGCTTATTCATGTTATCCTAGCCACAACCCTAAAAGATATGATGAGCTCTGAAACAGTGACTTGGCCAGGGATATAAAATGACCAAGTGGATCCAAACCTCACCCTGTGGGTACCACAATATTCAGAAATAATCAACACTACACATTGCATAGTCTCTGGATCATTCTAGTGGCCAGTTCTGGTAAATACACCCTGGAAATACATATAAATACATATTTCTGGGGAAATTTATTTAGGATTATCAAGCAGCAGATATGTGAATCAGTGGATACTGATCTACGACTCCAACAATGTGTTCCATGTTAAGATTCAGATGCTGATAGATCATTTTAGGGGCAAAGTCAATGTGATATCAATCACACAACTGATACAGTCTAATCTGGAGTGGGTCCACATAAGACAGCAAAGAATTAAACACTTTTTCTTCTCCTAAAATTGCCGCAATCCAAATCTCTTCCTGCACTTTTTTTTTTACAAGAATGCTCATGCCATTGACTGAACAAAAATAAGAATAGTGGACAGCTGGAAAGAGGAACAAGAAGAGAGCCAGGGTGGTGTAGAGGGTAGACCGGGACTTGGGAGACCTGGGTCCAAAGCCACACTCAGCCATTAACTGACTTGGTGACCTTCAGCCAGCCATATTCCCCCTCTCCAGCCATCCTCAGAGGCCTCTTTTGAGGAGCAAGTGTGGAGGAGGAGAGCCATGTATAATGTCTTGGGTTAAACAGAGGAAAAGCAGGATAAAAGTGTAACAAATAATAAACTGAGGAGAAATTGCTCAGTGACAAAATTGTTTGAGTATAAATTGAGCAAACTGCATAACATCTCTGTTGACATGAACAGGAAAAATGACAAATCGGGGTGTTTGTGGCTACCTAGAAACCATGAACCACCCTGAACTCCAGAAATATGAACTGGTTTGTGGTTCATTTTTCAGGTGCATGCCAGGGGAGAGGGGAACCTAATGCCTCCAACCCCTCTGCCACTCACCTGCCCCCTTAGCACTGCCCCCGTCGCCTCCCTACCTGCTACTCCCTCTGCCCCGCCTCCTCTTCCTTCTCCACCAACACCATCTTCAGAGACAGTGGTCTGGCATCCCTTCTAAAATCTGGGTCTGCTTTCTCTGCACATGGTCATGCCTATCAGCTGACAGGTGGATGCATACGCAGAGATGGACAGCCTGGCTCCCAGAAGGGAAGCCGGGCTGTTTCCGAAGATGGCGGTGGAGGAGAAGGAAGAGGAGTAGGTGGCAGGACCAGGTAAGGAGGCAATGGGAGCTGCAGCAAGAGGTTGAGGGGGAATCCATTTTGCCAAAGCAAAACAAAGTGCCGAGTGGGGTGGGGGGGAAATAGTGCTTCATTTCATTTCAGCAAAATGGCTTGCACGTATCAAACCATGAACCAGCCTGGTTTGTGGGTTTTTTGGTTTGTAGTTTAGTTCATGCCCATCTCTGCTGTAGACTATTTAATATCCACTATCAAGTGTGCCAAAAAAAATGGGATGGCTTCAGACCTCTGGGATCAGCTTTGTTTAGAACATCATTGTGAACAGGAGGCAAGTGCAAAACAGGACACTTAGAATGAAGGGCTGCTAAAACTAGGAATTTGTTTGGAATACCTGGAGTTCATTGTCACACAAATACCTAATTCATCCTGATAATTTCATCCTAGGTTTCTTAAATTCAGCAGTAAAAATTTAGGGAGTCTGTTTATGCTGTTATTAAACAAACAGGAGTAAGCAATCCTAGCAGATCTGATTGCAAAAAAACAGAAATCTTCCAGTAGGTCCATATCTACCTCCTGCCCATCTCGATGCATTATATATCTGAACATGTGAAGCTAAAATTGCCTTCTATAATACAATTCAACACACACTGCACTGAAGTAAATCCTATAGAGTTCAATGAGATTTGCTCCCAAGTCAGCATGAATAAATTACCACCCATATAGGGTCAGATCAGACATCTGTATTTCCTCTTCTTACCATGTTGTCCCTTCAGACATGCAGATCTTTCAGAGTTATGTGCCTGAACAGTCTGATAAAGCATTTTTATCTCCCACTGAAAAAATTATAAAAGAAAAGCAGGCTAATTTGCCAATATAAGTTTAGGCAAGCTTGTGTTAGAATAATGAGATAGTCTTTTCCTCTTAATGGAACTCTGATTCTAATAACATATTAATTGTATTGCCCACTTTGGACCATAAATGTGTATCCACAAGTAAAGGTGATAATGTGGAAAGAAAATGCCATTTGAAAATAAAATATATTTTCTGGCTAACTTTACACTGCATTACATAGAAATTCCAGTTTTAAAAAACCCCAACCCTAAAAACATTTGTGGTATAATGTGTGAAATCACCCTTTGCCTACACACTAACACCTGATAGTCATCTTTTTTAGTCTTGTTTCCACTTTCATTGAAAGTACATGTGTGCTTTACCTCTGACCAACAGTTGTGAAAACAATCATAGGTTTCGACACTGTTGATTCTCTGTATACCATCAAAACCACCAAGCACATACACTTTGCCACCAAGCACAGCCATTTTGTGTCTCCATCTTCCAACATTCAAATATTCAATTTGAATCCATTTGTTGATGGATGAATTATATTTCCAGACTTCATGTTGCGTCTCTTTTCCTCCTGCAATATATGGAACATATTAAACGTAGAACCAAACCTCCAGAATTTTTTCTTAAAGTTGTGCATAGTCAGACCAAAAACATAACCTACTAGGAGGTATCCCTTACAGCATTTTTGTTCATCTAGCCTACAGACTCTCATTAGAACCCTGAGAATTTTATTTGTTTAACCAAACCAACAATTTCAGTGCATTATCTTTAGCTGTATGCAGCTGGATATGGACTATGTATTTGCAGAAATCAAGAGATTTAAAGCTTCGTTCTTTAAATCTCTTGATTTTTGCTCAATCTCAAGTCATTTAAGGAAGTACCTTTATATCCAGTTGTCAATATTCTCTTTTAAGAGTGTAAGACCCAGTGCAATTATTGTTTCTTAAAAATTGAGGGGAGGGGAATGTAGCACATTGTACAGAGCTGGACCTGAGCTTCTGTGCATTGCCATTAAGAGATTATCTTTTTAGGGACCACAGATTATGCTCATTTATTTCCATGAACATCCACAACAACCATCTACATGTTCCTTACCTGATATATAGACTTCATTTTTTAACGTAACACAGGCAAATTCCACCCACTTTTTATTCTCACTCTCTGTTTCTTGTTCCGTGTTTGGTAATTTTGCCACTTCCAAACGACTGCGCCTCAAAGGATCAAGACATGTTACTTCTGCCACAAATTTTTCATCCTTTGTGCAGCCACCTATGATCATAAAGACCTCTGACTGGAATTCATGCATCCTGGGTTTTGTTCTTTCTGAAATGATCTAAATAAAGCAAACATTAAGCAGATCTCTGTTGTATGATATCATTACAAAAGACCACCTTCCCTCCAGCAAATGAATCCCCTAAGACCTTCGGCAAGGACTACTGTGTCTACACAAGTTTAGACTCTTGCTGCAGTTTCTAAGAAAGGCATGGTTGTAAGGAAATGCATCTATTTCAAAACATTAAGGTCCCATAAAACAATTGTGCTTAGCTCTGTAAAACTCGTGGAAAACAGTCTAGCTCAACCTTGGGTCCCCAGATGTTCTTGGATGGCAACTCCCAGGAGCCTTCAACGCTAGCTGTGCTGGCCATGATTCCTGGGAGTTATACTCCAAGAACATCAAGACTCAAAATTGGGAACCATTGGTCTAGCCCAGGCCTGGGCAAAATGTGGCCCTCCGGATGTTGCTGAACTGCATCTCCCAGCAATCCTAGCCCACACAGCCAATAATGAGGAGTGTTGGGATTTGCAGTTCAGCAACATCTGGACGGCCACACTTTGCCCAGATCTGGTCTAGCCACTGAAAGTAAAATTCAGTTGTTCTGGAAGCCACTGTTAGACAAGATTGTCTTGAAGAAAACCTTCCGCAACCTCAGATGATTTTTGTCAAGCCAATTAGCAACTGGTTACTCAATAACTTCCCATTTTGAGGAACAGTGATTGGGTGGGTTCCTAGCAATTTAGCAAGCAGTCATGGGTGACACTGTACAACCATACTAATTCTCCTAGACCACTCAGGGTCAAACTAGATGACACATTTATCATATTTTTTTGTGCATTTGTTTTTTTTTAAGAGAGCCAAATAGTGACAGTCATTTTAAGACTGTCCAAGTAGTGACAGTCATTAACTTGCTGTAGAATATGGATTTCTTCACCTATGTATCATGCATGGAGTATATTTTGTTTTGCAATTGGCCATTGGAAGGTTTACACAAGCTTAATGCACTAGTTTGTTTGCTAAGACACATATGTCTAAGGAAATGCCATTGAAGGATGAAAGTGAATAATAGGGAATATGCATTCCCCTTAATGGTTAGTCTGACTTTCATTGAGTTTTGTACTGACTGATAAGGTTAGGTTTCAGGAGCACTACATCCTGGGAGATCATATCCAGAAGTTCATGCTGGGGAGCTAACGCTCTGCCTCCAGCTTTGTGGGGTTTCACAGATCTCTATACTGTCCCTAAGTATATGCTATACATAAAACTAACGACACCCAACTCTGTTTCTCCTTCCCATCTGAGGCAACAGAAGTCTAAACCGCTGCCTAGAGACTGTAACAAATCCTTTAAATAATTTACTGTTATGTTACCTTGATTTTTTTTTTACTATTAAAACTAAAAGAGTCAAATTATTAATGTAGGTATGATATAAAACCAGTACATCATTTATTTACAGTATTTATTTTTTACTAGGGAAAATAAAGTAGTATGAAATACCTTTTCCTTTTTGTATTCTCATGTTTCTTGATTCTTCAGCATACTTTTATCATTTACAATCAAGCTACTACCAATAACATATCTCGAACCTTACCTTTTCAATAAAAACTCCCAAATCTCTATCTAAAACATACTGCTTCTTTCGATCCCCAAATCTATTCTAACAAAACGGAGGGGGGAGGGTTGCAACCTAATTGCCATTTATTTAAATTGGAATCATACCTGAAAAAGAATAAAAGAGTCTTGTAGAACTCTAGAGCCTCTCACTGATTAATATCCACTTCAACAGATGCATGTACCATCATACCACACTTCAATTTATCTCATGCTAAAAACTAAGCAGAATCAGGGAGGTAAGCTGGACTAGTGCTTTGATGGGAGATCACCCACAAACACTAGTGATCTCCAGGAAAGACTAAAGAAAGAATCCTGTCTGAAATCTGGAGAGCCTCTGCCAGTCAGTGTTAACAATACAGTGCCATATGGACCAGAAGTCTGATACAGTAATGTAATCTTCTATATTCCATGCATGTTCTGTGAAGTCCACATTTATGTCTGTGTATGTAAGCATATATAGACCCAGGAAAGTATTATGTTACTTGCTTTAAGTTACCACACGAGAAGGAGAGCATTATGACACAGGATGAAGGGTGGTAGCAGTAATCATGGTTCAGGAGTATAAAATGTGTCAGTTGATTTCCAGAACTTGTTAGAGAAAACTATTCACTGAGAGATATCCTTCGTGCTCCACCTTCTGGGCCTTCACTATAGATGTCAGCAGGAGTGTGCTAACCCTACCCCACATTGTATTCCTTCTTCTGTAGAGAATGACGGCTCCACGTGCAGAGGAGTTCTGCACAGAGGAGACTCTTTTCAGAATGTAGCTCTCCACACATGGAAAGCAAAGACTGTGTGGTGGGGAGGCCAATTGCTTCCCTCCACACATGTTAACTAAAGTAAATAGTATAACACTGGAACAGGGCCGTATACCTATGAGATACTTTCAAAAATTATTGGACACTGAACAATGAAAGCCATGTGATGACGTGCACTTCTACAGTATTTGCATTGCTATATGAATATCTATTGGTTTTCCTACAGAAAAAAAACACACCAACTCTCTGGGGATTTTTTTACCACAGAGCTTGAAGGAACCCAAGGCCATTTAGGAAATTAAGTTGTCCCCAAGTTAGAATGACAATCTGCCACATGAAGGAAACAGGATAGCAGCAGAAAACTGACTGCGGAACAAATAGCTGTGAAGAAGTGATGTGACCGATGCAAGTATTCTCTCTTAATATTCTTAGTGTTTTAAAACTCACCTCATTCCCTGATAAATGGTACATTCTGGCTTCTTGAAGGAGAGGGAAAACGTCAGGGCACTGCCTGATGAGTGAATTGGCTTCTACAGTCTCTACAAAATACCAAGGGTCCAGAAGGGGCAACCGGACACCCTCTAGAACATAGGGCAAGAGAGGGAGTCTTTCTGCCATTTTGAAATGTACCCAGTTGACAACTGTCTCAAACACTTGAGCTTCTTCGGTGACACAGAGGTCATCGCTCTTCAGCATGCAATACAAGACGTCTGCAGGCAACTCTAAGAATTCGTCATAGTTCAGCACTTGGGTAAAATTCTGAATAATGTAGTTTTTGACCTGCTGCTTCAGTTTATCAAGTGAATGGGTATCAGCCAATCGCAAGATTCCAACACAGTTTTCCGGCTGAAGAGCTTCAATGAGGAAGTTGGAGCAAGCATCTACCATCCGCAAAAACTGCAATTATAAGATGAAGCACATAAAAGTTATATGTACACATGCCTTTATGGATTTTACAGCCTTTGAAAACTTTTCAGAAAATAAGGAAGCAGTCAGTGGTGCTGCTTGGTGTAAAATGTTCAAATGTCATTTTTATTATGTATTGCCAGATTAGTTGAGCAGGTTTGCCTCTGATCTCCTCTGCAAGACAGGCAGCCTATTTTATATTATGCTAATGTATGAAGTATCACAATTCTAAAGATTCATACTGGCATAATTACAATATAATGTCATTTTATGCCATGTTATAATTATTTGCTTTAACAATCAAATTTGCAAATTAAGCATGTATTACTTCCAATGATCAATCACAACACAAAACACACCACATACAAACTATGCCACTGAGACAAACTATGTGCTATCACAAGTGGACATCTTTCACCACTTGAGAGAAGACATCTTCTAAATCCACTGACAGTTATTAGCTTGGAACATTTCTCTCTCTCAGAAGTTAACAATCTTATAACAGCAAAAGATGCAGCTTACTGGTTTGTACATTGGAAGGTTACAAGCATGATAAACATCTTCAGAAGCAGCCAGTGATGTACAGGGAAAAGTGAAAGAATGGCCTTTTGCCTTGAAAATTACTCTTCCACATTGGTGCAATGTGAAAGAATACCAGTACTGTACATAAATCCATTTGGGTGGGTTACATAGTTACATTTCAAGACTGTCTGACTGGGATGACAGCTGATGAGGAAGCAGTACATGGTGAGAACTTTTCTCTTCATAGACATGACTCTAATGCAAATATATCTGTATCTCCCTCAAAACAAAACAACAATACAAGGACAAAAGACAAATGGATAGTCTAATGCTATTAGAGGCAAGGTGACAACAGCAGGCACTAAAAAGTAAGGATTCCAATGGAAACTGAAACAGGAGGCAAAGGAAAGGAATTAATTGCAAGTTAACCACATAGAATAATACTGTAGGTTAAAGGTAAAGGTTCCCCTTGACATTTTTAGTCCAGTCGTGTCCAACTTTAGGGGGCCGTGCTCATCCCGTTTTCAAGTCATAGAGCCAGTGCTTGTCCGAAGACAGTTTCCATTGCCACGTGGCCAGCATGACTAGACACGGAACGCCCTTGCCTTCCCATTGAGGTGGTCCCTATTTATCTACTTGCATTTGCATGCTTTCGAACTGCTAGGATGGTGGGAGCTGGGACAAGTGACGGGAGCTCACTCCGTTGCGTGGATTCAATCTTACGACTGCTGGTCTTCTGACCCTGCAGCACAGGCTTCTGCGGTTTAGCCCACAGCGCCACCACGTCCCACTTATAATTAATTCCTTTCCCCAATAACTAACAGGTAACTAAATTACATTATAAATATAACTTGGGAACAGACTCATTCTTTCTGTATTTAACAGTAACTTTTAAAAGTCATCATTAATTTCATAGTTAAAGGGGAGTGGCCTCACTAAATGGTGGACATGGAATATCACATCATTCTGGCTTGTGTTATGCCTTCTATGCTATTGTGCTCAAGGTTGCCAGGTCATCAGTTTTGACGCAGAGACTCAGGCTGTCGGATAATCTCCTAACATTTCCAGTCAAACAGTTCTGTGCAGCTATTCTATCTTTCTTCTTTTATGAACTGCCTATAGGGAGTGGAAAGCATGGAAGAAGTGGTGGGAAAACACACAAATATTGTAAGTAGAAAATGACTAGATCTTGATGCCTTCTGCCCCCCTCCCAATGAATGAGACACAGCAACTCCATATTAAAAACCTTGTCTGGCAGTACTTTAAATCCTGTCTTTTTAAGCAGAGTGCTCTTTCTTTTCTATTTGGGAGCACATATCATTCAGCCTTTACAGTTAGGAGTGAAAAGCTAATAATATTAAGCATTGAGGGAGATCAGTCTGACCTAGAAAGATCTAATATTCAGCACTTAGAGATATCACAGCTTGGTTTTCAATTCTTTCTTAAATGCTCATCTAAAGACATTGGATTATGTTCCCCAACTGGGTGCTATTCAGATATGATGACTACAGATCTCCTCAACCCTAGGCAGCATGGCCAACGACTGTGACTCTAGATGGTGGGGAGTTGTGGTATAACTTATTACAGGGTGCCCAGGTGAGAAAGGTTGTGAGAAATAACAGTAGCTGAGCAGTTTCTCCCCAGAGTGTAGAGGAAACCCCACAACAGTTTGGTGTTTTTATAACACCTCCCTTCAGAACTGACTAAAGCACAGCATGGTTTTTAAAAAAATAATTAATGAGAAAAGAGAAGTGAAAAACCAGAAACACAGTTTTAGAGAGTTTGTAGATTATTAAAGTATTTTCAGCTGAATCTTGTGCTCAGAGCCGTGTCCTGTTGTTGACACATTTAGGTGACTTATGAAAACTGAAAGATAACAGACTTTGCCTTTAAACCACTCAGTTCCTGTTTTTAAAAGAAACATGTGTGCCAATGGTTAATGAAACAAAGGTTTAACGTCCTCTGTGTATATCATCCTCATCACCTATTGACACCCTGCTATATCTGACATATGGGGATTCTAGTCCTTCAAAATAGAAACTACTACTTAATGGGACAAAAATTATAGGGACCTGTTGTATTCAACTGTAAAATAAAATAAACACCTAAAACAAAACAAGACAATATCCCAAAACAACAGGATTGTCATAATTTTAACTGGAACCGCTTAAGAAAACCATACAGTTGCAGGTAAACTCAAAAATGAGCTCAAGGTTTTGAAAGCTTACTTGTTATTTTGTGATATTTTAGTTGGTCCCAATTACATCAGCCCCATCAACACAGATCAGACAGAATCAAAATGGCAGCAGTAAGGAAGGTACTGTACACATGTAGATCTAATGCTCTGGTCATCATTGCTGCTGAACAGTTTGTCTGCCAAACCCTCTTAACAGAACTGCTCTCACCCCAACAGAAACATTTTGAGGCAGGAGTAGTATTATTCAGACAGCTGTGATGGTGATCCCTTACATGTAGGAGTTGGATTCCAATCAGTCAGTAAATTTGGAAGTGCACATGCTAATGACAGTTCCCATAGCTATCCCTTCTTATAGGAGAATCCAAAAATGCAGGCAGCTGCATCAGTTGATATTAACAAGTAATGTGCAGGTATTTTGTAAAGCTGTTGACTCTTAGTTGCTGTGAGATGGATGGCAAGACTTTAGATCTTCCCAGAGGTGAACCGCCATGGAATGATCACCATGGGATTAATGATGTTCAGTTTCCCAATGGATATAGGAATGTTGGAATTGGACATAGACTATGATACTAGGGCTTGCAGCCCTGAAGGGAAAGAAGGACAAGAAGAGATCACAACCACAGAATACTGGGAAATAGTGGGAAAACAGGCTGAAATAGTAAATGAACCATAGAAATGAGAGATAGAAAGGACCAGGAAAATAGAGAGGCAGAGGGACAGAAAACAGTCAAAAGGGTGAATATGAGGAGAGAAAGGAGTACGATGGGAAGGAGACAATAGCTTTAGAAGATCTGTGGATGGGTGGATGGGTAGCATTTATATTACCAAAGGAAGAAGTAGAGAAGGTACAAAATAAAAAGCCATTAGTTAAACCCTTATAGTGGGGTGAAAAGGAGGAAAGGATGATGAAGTTAGAGAAGAGATAATGATGAAGTTAGAGAGATAAGCCATTGAGAAACCATGGGTCCAAGATAGCCAAGGTGCATGGAAGGAAGGAAGGAAGGAAGGAAGGAAGGAAGGAGAGATACAGTATGACAATAGGTATTGTCCCCAAATAATGAGTGAAAAAGAATTCATGGGATCAACACCCATGTTTTGGCAAGTGCACATCAACACTCCCACCTGCACTCTTGGAACAACCTGTAAATTACTGGAGCGAAATGTCACTAAAACCTGACATAAAGGGTGTGTTGGATATACTTCTTGTAAATACATTTGAACTGTTATCCCATTTAGAAGACCCATTAGAGGTGGTGGTGGTGCAACCCCCCTTAATGTGGAATGAAAAAAGATGTTTGCAAAAAGGAGAACGTTATTTGTGGGCACAACTGAAGGAGGGGTCAGAGGAATTGGTATTAAAGCGACCCATAGTTGCTCATTCAAGAACAAACAACCTTCAAAAACTTCACAATACAACAGAGACAGCTTGCAACAATAAACTGTTCATGGGAAAATCCATTTATCTCCTTGCTACCGTAAGAACTGCATCAAATCCCAAGGTAAACAGGGAAGCTTGAAGCAGATGGCAGATAATATCAGAGTCACTGTTACCTAGAAAGTCCTGGGGCTTCAACCATAAGAGCCCTGGCTTCACCACAACACAGCAGAAAGGCACATCACAAGCTAGCAGGCAGTCTGCCTAACAACAGAGGTGGAACTGGCATGGGCAATGGGACCAAGGGGTGAATACCATGTCCAGCCCCCTCACATTTGAAGATGGCTCTGGATGTGGAAAATGCAGAAAACAATTGAAGGCGCAATGCTGTGTATACTTATTTGCAAGTAAGTCCTGTTCTAGTCAACAGGAGGCAGGTTCTTCTCTTCAAGTACAGTACGTCGAGATTTACATTGCATCTCGTTTCTGAAACTGACATGAATGTTGCATTAATTGAATAACAACTTAAGAATCCATGAGGCAGCCAAGGTGAAGAATTTTCTACTAAAATTTAGACTAGCCAAAACACCTACCAATTGGTCACACTTGCACTAAAATTACAAGTAGCAATCAGAAGCATTTGGTTCAGAAACCAAGTCCATTTGGTCCATGGCAGAGCTTGGAAATAGAGTTTCACATAGTTACTTGCAATTAATACCTCTATTCAATAATAAAAGTATCATTACATTACATTACGATTCGAACGGATTCCAAATGTGAGGCATTTTCATCCCACTTGTGGTTTAATTTTAATTTTAAAAGTTGCCTGCTTCATGGATGGGTAGCGGAAGTTTCATTGATGGGTAGCGGAGGTTACTAAGTGGTGGAGGAGAAATATCGCATGGTTCAAGCTCTGAGCCGTGCTGCACTTCTGATGCTGCCTCATGTTGTCTTGTGGATGTTGATGTTACAAGATGGCATTGACAGAAAAGAGTATTTTGTACCACAGGCCAATGCTCTGTAGCATTCTGGTGATTTTTTTGTTAAATAATTAAAAGCAAATGTTTTAATGTTTTTTTCAGAAATGAAAAAGTAAAGAGTTACCATAATAGTAACTAACCTTCTTTGTTTAAATCTAGAGCTGGCTTCGAACTGCACTGGTGAGTCATAACTTTTTAATTTTCCAAGTTCTGGTCCATGACTTAATGTTGTGTGTGAACTGGTCTTATGTATTTTTCCATGTGCTAGAAGCATTCACTAACCTGAAAGAGGCTGGCGGCTTCCAAGACTTTCTGCACATTTTCCTTAGTGATCAGCATTTTGCTTGTGTACGTGTAATCCAACAGAATCTGCATTGTTTCTGCATCAACTCCCTTAATTACTATTTTTTCTTCATATTTTTCTTTTAAATCATTGCAAAACATTGCCCTGAAGCAGAAAAAGGAGGTTATTTATTACAAGAAATCTAGAAAGACCTGTCTTTCTGAAATAGGTTCTGGAAACAACGCCATTAGTACTGACTGTGAAATACATTCACATACAGAGAGGTATAATGTATTTTTCCTGGCTTTCTATTTTAAAATCTTTGAATTGGATGACAGTGTAGATCAGGTGAAAACAAATTTTTAAAGTAAAAATGATCAACGGAAACATTTAAATCCTCAAAGTAATCTGTAAAACAGACGGCACCATCTCAGTTCAGCATACCTATACAGTGGTGCCTCGCAAGACAAATGCCTCGCAGGATAAAAAAAAACTTGCAAGACGAATGGTTTTGGTGATGGGGTTGATGACTCGCAAGATGAATGTCCCTTTGGTCATGCTTCGCAAGAAGAATGTTTTCCGTTTTTTGTTCATGCCTCATGTTTGCTGATTTTTAAATGTTTTTCTATGATGTTTAAAAAGTTAAAGTTTTTTGATTGAAATTTTTGAAATCATCTGCACAATATGTATGGCTTTAAAGAGCACTTAATAAACTGTTTGTAAACCAAATTTGACTTTGTTCTGACTTTTTTTGCCCATAGGAACACATTAATTAGATTTCAATGCATTCCTATGGGAAAACGCGTTTCGCAAGATGAATTTTTCGCAAGACAACATTAACCATGGAATGAATTAAATTCGCCGTGCGAGGCACCACTGTATTAAAATGCAGCATCCTGAACATTCTATTGTTAAACAAATGCTTTTAACAGGTAGCTTATGGTTCAAGCAGGGGCCACCTCACCTCAAAACCTTGGGGTGAAGCACTCCTTTTGTTCAGACAAGGGGCTGTCTCTGGCTATTAATTCATTTTGCTAGTCCTTGTGTGTATAACTGTGGGCTATTGTATCTAACGCTATGTATTTTCAGATTGCAAATGACACAAAATGCAGCATCAAACAACTAATTAGTGCAGTAAAGGCCTGCAGAAATAGATATATTTTGAAAGCTGACCAAAATGTGACAAAATATGGAGACAGTCTATTCTGCTGTTAAGCAAACTGTACCATTAAAAAAAGTAAGACAATGGCCTGAAACTATTTGGGAGAGGGAGTTGGAAATTCCCTCAAAATAGCACTTGAAGCGTTTTAGTCGTCAAAAATAATGAAAGTAATGAGTAAATATTACTTATTAGACACAGAGAAAGAAATGAGTGATGTTACCAATTTCAAATATTTTTTTTCACTTCTGCCTCTTAATCATGTTTTGTCTTGAGTAAATACACCTAAAACTCCATGAGCTTTTGCTTATAGGGCATCCACATCCATTTTGGAAGTTACCCAATCAAACAAGTCTTAACTATAATTATACCCCTTTTCATCTATTTGCATATGAGTAAACTTAATAGTTTTAAATAAAATAAACTTTTATTTATTTATTGGTTAATCGTGCACACATGTACATCAGGTACCATTAAGTCTGTCAGTTAAGCAGATAAATTTAATTTTTTGCTTATGTCCTCTGATGCAGGTGTGATGGACCAGAACAGCCCTACGGCAACAAACTGGAGAACACAAAAATTAGAAATAAGACCTAGAGGCTACTATAACAACTCATTTTTAGAACACATTTATAGAGGTTCCTAGTGATAGAGCAGGTCCATGGACATAAAGGACAGGATACACTCATTGAATTGGCCCAGAGAAAGGCTTATCAAATGTCTTCCTCCACAAACAATAACTCCTTCTGGAATAAATGAAAAATTGAATCAATATGAGAGTGATTCAGAATAGCATTTGTTTTGCCATATACCGTATTTTTCGCACCATAAGACGCACTTTTTTCCCACAAAACAGGGGGGTGGAAAGTCTGTGCGTCTTATGGAGCGAAGAAAACAGATTATATTTTCCTGTTTTCTTCTCCTAAAAAATTGGTGCGTCTTATGGAAAGGTGCGTCTTATGGAGCGAAAAATACGGGTATACACACATATATACATCAAGATCTAAATAAAACATACAGTACACTAGGGGTGGGGACTGGAGTTATGGAAGTCACTGTCAAGTCAGACTTAAGTCACATCAAAAGTTTGGCTCAGACTTGACTTGGAGGGAGGGTTCAATGACTCCAAAGCAAAGCAAAGTGTGCTGCTTATATACTGCCCCATAGCGCTTCAAGCACTCTCTGGGCGGTTTACAAGTTAATTATGCAGGCTACACATTGTCCCCCCAGTGAGCTGGGTACTCATTTTACCGAACTCGGAAGGATAGAAGGCTGAGTCAACCTTGAGCCGCTACCTGGGATCGAACCCCAGGTCGTGAGCACAGTTTTGGCTGCAGTACAGCAGTTTGACCACTGCGCCACGAGGCTCCAACTCAACTCGTGACTTGGAACTCACCCACCCTCCCTTATTTTTGTAGGTATTGGTAACAAAAAAGCTAGCTTGCTAAAAATATCTGTTGCTTATTTAATTAGGGGTTTTTAATGTAATAGAATTTACTTTTAATTGGTCATCTAATTGCTGCAGCTTATGTCTGAAGGCTGATACTGAATTAATTATTAATTCTTAGTACTGAACATGAATTTGCAAGAACCTTGCTTTTCCAAAAGAAGGGGCAAATTCCAAATATTTAGAAAACTTTGTCTTCAAAAGAAAAGACTAAACGTAATATCATGATATTCCACTGGGGAAAATTACGTCACAGGTTTCCTTCATCTGGCCGGTTGATCCACAAGCCCCTGAAACCTATTGATGTTCATTAGCGGAGCATCAGAATGTCATATAAGAAAAGCAAGCATCTGGGAAAGAAAACAAATATAGGATCTGGGAATTCAAAAGACTCCTACATGAATACCTACTGCAATGAAGAACATGTGCAGAGATTTGAAAGTCCTGAGCTCAGGCTTGTACTTTTATAAGGAGCCTTAGGCAAAACTCAGTCTTTAATATGGGTATAATATAATGAATATTTTACTTACACACAGACACAGATTGTGGGGGGTGGGATGTTACAAGATTAATAGAAGGCTTACTTAGAATATATCTGGAGAACATTCTAGCACAGTGTGGTAGCCCAAATTCTGATATTTCTTACTTTATTCATCCTTTTAAACCTGACTTTTATCCTGTGTTTGTTCTGGTGGGCAACTTAAAAAAGCAAGGCAGATAATTGTGGCCATATTGATTCTCCTAGGACTCCCAGTGGTACCCACAACCACTGAAAATGATATATTTCTGGGCCGTCTGGCTAGGAAGGTATTGTATGGTTCCAGTTCTAATCACTCCTTTCAAGGTTTATCTCAGAAAGTGCTTCTGATAGACTGCTGCTCTTTCCCTGGCCTTTGTCCTATATGGTGCTGAAAGGGTCTGTCTATCTTGTCTCCTCTGTTATGCAACACTTGTGTTCATCCCCTGTCCAGTGAGAAATATGGTAAAAATTTCTAAAGAATTATAGATTTATTTTCTTCTCAAGAAAAAAAGAGTTATGATAAAAGCAATCTTAACTTTCCTGAATAATCATTGTTAACATGAGAGTAGAACATCTGATTCTCACAATATGTTCACTTTCCTTCACCTTTGTATTCAAAACTGATGCTTTCTATACTGTATGTTTTTCTAAGATACAGAAGAAAAAAACATCTTCCTTCTAGATTTTTCTGTTATGGAATCATAGACCTCTACATTCAGAACTGGTCTTAGAAGTCACCAAGTCTAAGTCCTGCTTTGCTGCTGGAATCGTGAAACTACAGTATCTCTTAAGGCAGCTGTGGGGTATATGGATAAAAGGCAATATAAAGCATCCCTCTAAACAGGAGGAGCAGGTAGCATGCAAAAAAAATGTGTTTATTTAACAAGGGTGCTAACCGTCTTGACCAGACAAATGCTTGATTGCACAAACATATTTACAGGTGTTTGACATAGATCGCAGGAATGCTTACCCATAAAGTTCACAGTTTGCCATCTTTTGGTACATTTCAGTTTTGCATGTCAATCATAGATGAAAAGATTTCTCCTGGAAGAAACTTTGCCACTGCCCTGATTTTGGCAGCACGTATGAAAGACTTTATCGGATCAGCTTTTTAAAATAATAATAAAAAATAGGAAGCTAAACACATTTCTTTCTCCCTTTTTGACCCCCTTTTCAACATATTGTCTTTGACAAAGAAGGTGTTTGGGAAACCATTATTATCCAGCTTTCATACAGGAAAAAATAAAGCTATCTAGCATTCTTACCTAATGTCTCTATGGCCCTAGAACATAGATGGTATGATAGTTATAACATTTAATTTTATAATAATTAAACAGCAAAATTGGCCTGTCTCAGGACAGCACGTAGGGCATTGAGAAGGTAAGACGAAGTGTTCATAATATTTACTTTTCCATCTCACCTGCCTCAGTTTCAGTTATTATCTTTCTGCATGCCAATAGAAAAGGATTTGAGCTTAAGTATCACCCTTACCTAAAGTAATTGCTTGCTGCTGCAAGGACCACACGATGGCAGGAAAAATTCATGCCATCCACACACAAGGTAACGTCTGTGAGAGAGTTTTCAAGCCGGAGGTTCTCCAAGCCATTTTGCAGCACCATGGATAGGCCAGTGTCATCGAATTTAACCCTTTCATTGTTCGAGACTTCCACAAGCTCTCCTAGATTCTTGGAACCTTCATTTTCCAAAGCCAACTGAGATTCCTCCTCTAGGTTCTCCTTCACCATGTCTCCCATGTTTTGGTCAGCAGCAGCAACAGCGGCAGCAAATCATGCCATTAATACTTCAATATAAGATGCTTCCTGAGCTTCAGACAAGTCACGCTGCAGAAGCAAGGCGGGTTTCCTGTTTGGGCCTCCCCACTTATCTACAGCTGTCACACACACATAACAGGAAGTCTTGCACTTTCTCATCCTGTTAACACAAGCAAAACCAGTCGAGGGGTTGTGTTTTCTTTTAATCTTGCATATTTCAAGCAGTTTTAGTATGCCAACTGAAGACTTTAAGACGCCTTCGAAGATGTACATCTTATAATCAATTTCAAAGGCTAAATATTCTAAAATCATGGTTTTGCAGTGTAACCTATCTAGATATCCTTGACCAACATGAGAGAAGCATCTTTGGGTTACATTAAGCCTCTTCAGCAAAACAGCTTGAGCGCATACAGCAAAAATGAATATCACCGTTATTAGAGTCTTCTATGGGAATAACTGGCAATCACCTTGGAACTAATAAGTATTCTTCCTCACTATACACCAGTTTTTAAATCTCAACAGTATTTCTTTTAAGAAGCCTGTACTGACTATCCTTATACATTTAAAATGCACAATTATGCCAAATAAAGTGTGTTGGTTTTTTTTTTAAGGTGGGACACCTTAAAACCCTTTGTTGCTTTTGCTATAACACAGCTAACACAGCCTGGAAATTAAAAACAAAACAAAACTGACCACCCAAGATTTTCATTTCTCAATTTAGGTTAATGCTGATAGGTGTAAACTCTAATATGGTACAATAATCAAAGGGTAACAGTTACTACTGTATATAGGATGCAATGTTTCCCAAGTGTGAAATGCCAGTGTTCTCAATGCAAAGCCCAGATAGTTGCAGGGAGATACAGAAGATGTATTTATTAATTTATTTAAAATATTTTTATGCCACCTTTCTCCTTAAAAAGGCCCCCGAGTGGCGTAGATCATTGAAAGAAAACATTTAAAGCTAAAAAAATGTAAGCATACAGTATACATGTTAAAAAGGATCCAACGAATGCCACACTAAAAACTAGTAAATAAAAGCAACACGAAAAACACATTCAAAACAGTAAGGTGTAATAATGCACTTAAAAACCTATTCAGGCAGCCAGTAACTAAGAGAAAGCTTGTCTGAAGAAAAAGGTCTTTGCCTGCTTGCAGAAGGACAACGAAGATGGGGCCAGGCCAGCTTTCTGTGGGAGGGACTTCCAGAGTTTGGGAGCAGCAACAGAGAAGGTCCTCTCCCGTGTACCCATCAACACCTGTGAAGGTGTTGGGACCAAGAGGAAGGCCTCTCCTTATGATCTTAAAATGTGAAGGCTGCATTTTGCCCGTCCCACGTTGTGACTATAAGAGGGTAAGTGGTAATGAGTCAGACCATTGGTCCATGTAGCTCAATATTATCTATACCAGTTCTTGGCAACTCTCTAGAATTTCAGATGACAGCTTCTTTCAGCTCTTGCTCAAGAGGTCAGGGACTGTATTTTCTGTTTACTTTTCTCAGGATATCAGCTATTCTTGTATTCTCCTTCTCCTTCATATTATCACTTACCATAGAACAAAACTGAAATCTACAAAATAAAATAGAATAGGAACCTGATAAATGAGGAGAATGAGCATATGTGAACAAAAGAGTGTTACTGTTACAGTATATGGATTTGTAGCTGGTTGATAGGCAGTATACAAAGAACACTTATCAATGATTCCTTGTCATCCTGAAGAGAAGTGGCAAATGGGATACCGCAGGTTTCTGTTTTAGGTCCACTGTTACTCGATATTTTTATAAATTACTTGGATGATGGTGTGGAAGCAATGCTGATCAAGTTTGCAGAGGGCACCAACCTTGAGGTGACAGCTAATAAAACAGAATTGGAATTTAAGAGAAACTTGATAGATTGGAGAACTGGACCTAACAAAATTAAGTTTCAACAAGAAAAAACGTAGTCCTGCAGTTAGGTGGCAAAGCGAGATACATGGATCTGAGTAGCATGGTTTTTGCTATTCACAGTTCCACCTCCAATCAATCAATCAATCAATCAATCAAATAAATAAATAAATAAATAATATTCTGTGAAGGAGGCAGGGCCACTACAAGATAAAAAGCCTTGTGGGGAAGCTGCCCATGTTTTAACCTGATGAGGACTCATGCTAGGTAGAGGATTCTGCGATCTGTAGCCAAGAAAGCTAGCTATGTAAGAGTGAGGATGGAGCCATGGATTCATTACTTTCACTGTATTAACAGCAGCAGAAAGGTGGGAGAAGATCTGCTAGGATCTATACTGCAGCTAAACCAGCTTTATTACATCCTGGGATGCCTATGAAGTAACAGTCGGCTACCATAAAAACTAATACAGTTTGCCATACAGATCTGAAGCGGCTGGAGAGTTTCCATGCCTCTGCTTGCTACCTCCACGAATACCTGGCGCTGGTGCAGAAACTTTCCACATGACTGGAAAGATTCACGTGAGAAGCCACAACATGTTGCAGCTGCTTTGAAGAAAGTTCCCAGACAGCACCTCTTGCAACAGGATAACCATCTCTTTTTTGATTAGATTATGATCACGGCTGGGAAGCTTATCCCTTTACTTTTCAAGTTTCCATTAAAGTCGCAAATGTGCATTTTCTTCCCATCTTTGTCACATGAAATAATTTTAGAATGCATTTTGACGCAGGAAAGTGAGATCTACCTTGAGCAAAGAACGGCATAGATATGACGTTTTCCTTCAGTAATTATTAAATGCGAAATAATTTTGCTATAATTTGTTTGTTGGTAGGATAAACTACAGTATTATCTTGGTAAGAGATGATGGCTGCCATAGACCTGTATAGTCTGCTTTAAAACGAGTGGATCGGGCAAGTTTATCTGGGCATGAGCAAACTTTGCAGCTCCGCTCATCCTTTTTTCACACCGAGCCACATACACCGCCATCGGCTTGACCCGGGACTAAAATGGGCACGTAAAATGATACACCCGGCTCTGCGGCGCGCATATCGCTTGGTCCCATGGAACTACATCTCCCAAGAGCTTTTGCAGTCGGCCCTTCTCTGATTGGCTTACGTTGCGTGACATCATGTGTTTTGGCTCTGGAGGGTCACATGTTTCGGGGTCTCCTTTGTTGTGAGTTGAGCTCGAACTTGAAACAGACAAAAAGAGCGAGCGAACTGAGCAAAGACGGGGTCGCGTTGCTCGCCTTCTTCCAATCTGCGGCAAATAGCGACTCACAGGTAACGTCTCGGCTGAAGCCAGCTCCTGAGGCCACAAATGTAATTGGGTCGGTGACCGGCGCGACCCTTGTTTTTATTTTGAGTTGAGCATGTCGAAGTGCAAAACAACGGTAACGGCCTTAGTGTGGGGACGAGTTCGAGTACCTTGCTCGTGGTAACGCAGTAGGTAATAATAACTACAAGGAGAGGAACGGCGGCCCTAACCGTTTTCCCTCCCCACCACCACCTCGTTTTTTTTCCGCCTCTTTCTTGTCGGATGAATTTCGGCGAAGTTTTAAAACGTGCCTGGCTTCTTTTTCTGCTTGCAGTCGAGTTGCTTGAAATCTCCAGATTTCAAGAGAGACATTTCCGTAGCCTGGCTGTTGTTTTGCCGGCTGGGCGGTGAGAGCGAACTAATTATACCTTCGAGGCGTAATTTCCTTCTTTGCCCTTTTAGCGAGTAGGAAGGCGCACGTCCGCACATCTCTGTAAACCCCGTTAGTATTTTGGAGGGCCTCGTTGGTGCCTCCCCGGGAGAGGAAAGGGGAGTTCCATCTGGAGCTGGAAAACCGTGTGCGTGGCGAGGGTGGGAGGCGAGCGTGTTTTCTGCATCGGTTCTTTAAGAAGACACGTAAATACCGGGCTTGCAGTGTTGACGGGCTGGGGAGGGAGAGCAGCATCGCCTACCCCGCTTTCGGCCGGTTAGATTTTTAGACCTTCTGTTGGCTTATAAGACGTTGGGTCAAGCACAGAAATCCAGCGGGGAACTCGATCTGCCCGCTCGCTTAAGAAGATACCTGTTTCATATATATTTATCAGACGCGGTTGTTTGGGCTCTTTCTGAAACCCTGCATCGGTCAGAGACTTGTTGCCAAATCTCTATATATTTTACCAATATTTGGAAAGGTTTCCATTCTGTTTTTTTTGAAAGGGGGAACCTAAATTTTTATGGTGGGGCAGTCTTTTTGAAATCTGGCTCTTTTAGGCTCTGTGACAGGTCGGCCGTCGGAGGGTGAGAGGCTTGGAGCGACCCACACTGCCCCCCCCCTTCGCTTCCTCTGGGGAGAAAGTCCTGGTGGCGAGATGGCCCTTCCCCCTCCCGGCAGCTGCTGCTCAGAACCGAGCGGCTCAGTCGGCTGCTGTGGCCTCTGGACCAGTCCATTTTTCCAGAGGGGAGAGGGAGGGTTGCGCAAGGAACCGTTAAAACATCCCAGCCTTCGGGAGGAAATGGAAATGACTACCCCGGCGGTTTGAGTGGAGCGGCCCAGGAAGTGTGGGGAGAGGGATAAGGACACGCAGGAAATAGAAATGACTACCCCGGCCGTTTGAGTGGAGCGGCCCAGGAGGTGTGGGGAGAGGGATAAGGACACGCAGGAACCTATATAGACGTTGTCTCTTCCCCCCCCGCGTTTCCTTGTTTGATAGTTTGTTCCCTTGCTTCTCTTGACAACGGGAGAAGAGGGTGGGAAAGGTAGAAGCGGATTGGATCCACACATCAGCCCGAGGAGGGGAGGGGGAGGGAGCGTAAGAGTTGGAGGATTTGCGTCCTGTAATTGGACAAAAAAAATGCGAGGGGGCGGGGTTTGTCCCGAGGCTCGTTCAGGGTGAAGGTGAACTGGAGGATGCGGTCGTGCGCGCGCGCGGGGCCGAGCCGTTGCTCGGGTTCGAGTTGAGGCCAGTTGTGTAATGCGTATCAGTGGCGCTCACCTGGGAGTTGGAACTGGAAGGCGGTCATGTTGCCGTAGGCGCCTTTCAAGTAACGCCTCCTGGGCCGTTAGTTATTTCCAGTCGCGGGCTTGCGTGTCCTTGAAACGGTTTCTCCGTCTCTCGCCGCACGACGCCTCCCCCTTGGTTAATAAGGAAGCAAGCCCCTTTCCTCCCTCTCGGGGAGCGACTCAGCTAAAGGGAACCGGTGGCCTCGCAGTCGGTGGCCCTAGAAACGGCTCCCGTTGTCCGGGCTCCTGAGGCCTCCTCCCCGCTAGAATCACGAGGGGCAAGTCTTGGAAGAGAAACCGGTGTGAAACGTTGCAGCGAACGCGACATTTCTTGTAATAAAAATCTGATCCATACATTTGACCTGTAGAGAATTTGCAGAAGATAGTGGAAAATGGTCTTTAGCCCTGTTTGCCTTGTCCTATTATTTGAGTAAGGGCTGAAGCCAATCTGACCCCGTCTGTGCTCTCTTTAGAGAACTATATTGTTTTGTTTCCAAAGTCTCTTCCAGTAAGGAAAGCATTTAGATTGGGGTGATGAACGAGTTGAAAGTGACAATAATGGTCATAGTAGAGTTTTAAGTTTTCAGACACAGATACAGTGGACCCTCTACTTACAGAATTAATCCATATTGGAACGGTGGCTGCAAGTCGAAAAGTCTGTAGGTCGAATCTCCATTGACCTACAATGCATTGAAAACCGATTAATCCCATAACTGACAGTTTTTATTCTATTTTTGTTCCATTTTGGTGTTTTTTTCTGGTCTGTAAGTCAAGTAAGGAAAGCATTTAGGGGTGATGAACGAGTTGAAAGTGACAATAATTGTCGTAGTAGAGTTTTAAGTTTTCAGACAGATACGGGAATAAATCAAAATAATATTTACTTACAACAAATTTTCAGTTATAACTTCAGCTATTAAAAGCCAGTCAAATGTGAAACTTGTACTCCCAAAATAAAGCAATATAGCACAACAGCAACATCTGGCCAAGATTATTTTGGAACCTTTTTCTACCCTTCCAGCTCTGCAGTGACGTATGTGAGAAATTCAAGAAGTACAGTAGTTTACCTTTGCAATTTCCCAATAACTTTCCATCACTGAACTTGGATTTGAGGAGTTGTTTAAGGCACCTAAATCTTGTTTCCATACTACTCACTACACCATGTTGGCTGATACTTCAATACCTAATAATTTGCTCATTTTATGTCTAGAATTTGAGTTTATAGTAAACTACAAATCCAAGTTGACCTAATATGTGATTCGTAATGATTATTTTATATTATATAAATCTGCTTGGCACAACATAATATAAGAAACAAAGGAGTTATGAGCGGCACATGTGCTTGAATAAAATAATTGGCAATAATGTAAAAGTAGCATAAGGTACATGTGAGCAACTATACTTAGACCTGAGGGAAGTAAATATTATTGGGTTATTTCTTTCTGTTTATTTGCCTAATCTCAGGTTAATCATTACAGTGTAACATACTTTTTCTAGGTACGTACTAGCTGTAATACATTTTACAGCAGACTTTTTTCAGACAAGATCAAATGGTGTTACAGATAGTGGTAAAAGAGGGTTGTGAACCAGGAAACAAAATATTATCATAACTATAAACTCACTACAGGAAACCAACTTTCACTCTCCCATACCACTTCAGAGAATAATGAAGTTGAAAGGGACCTATAAGGCCATCAAGTACAACCCCTGCTCAGCACAAATCAAAGGATATTCATTGAATCTTTATTCTTCACTTGTTAAATATCTTAATTTATTCTTTTAAAATATCCCATATTTCTATATCAGACTGTACCCAAAGTAGCTGGCAATTGCAATAAAACATGTTCTAACATACAGTAAAGCAATCGTAATTTTTTTAAAGCAATAAAAGAAAAACACATTGAATAGTACTCTTCAAGAAAGTCCACTAGATCAAATAGTTTTCAGAGCCCATTGGAAAGGAGGTGACCAGGGAGATTTAGATTTCTTGGAGAAAAACAGTCATGGGGAAGACATTGAATATCAGTCTGACTTGCTGCATGTATTTTGCTGGGAAAACAGAGGGAAAAGCCTCAAAAGCAAGCTCTTAGATTTGTATGGAAGGAAACAATACTTAGATATTCCAGTTCAAGGTTCTTTAAGGATTTAAAAATCATGACGAGTACCTTTTAATTGCCAGTTTGCTTCTAGACACAATTAGTGAAAGGAGAGGAGAATCAACATGATACACTCTGACATACTGGCCTCAGATGAAACAGGCAACCACATTCTTGATCAACCAGAATTTCCAAAATCTTCAAATGTAGCTTCATATAAAGTATGTTTCAGCAGCCTATCCTGGGAGTGACTAGTGCAGAAACATTGTAGTTGATGTACCAGGTGGATTTTGTAAAAGGCAACCTTGGAAAGTGCAGGTACTTGCACATCCAAGTGGGTGGCCTGATTCAGGTGTACCTCTAAGCTACAAACTTTGAGGTTTCAGATTGGGTGTGGCTGCATCATAAACTGCCTGCTTCTGTCAGTTTGTATATGGATTTTTAAGACAATATTTGTGATATGCTTGGTTCTAAAATCTATATAAATGGAAGTATTGCTGTTATTATAATTTTAATATGTAAAACTATGTTTGTTAATATGTTACATGTTTGTTACATTACTGCCTTAATACAATTTTTAAGATATATGTGATGTTCAAGAATGGCCATTGCAATCCCCAATAAATTTCATACTAGACCAGTATTTAATGTGTAGAATAGTGATTAAGTTGCTCTAAAAGTTGGTGTTTTCTATCTGATATCAAATATGTAATTAATTCAGGAAAGTGAGGCAGTCGTAAGTACCATTTAAATCAAAGAGGCAACTGAAAGACACTTGTTAGACTAGAATCCTATTTGTATTCATCTACGAGTACATCAGTTTCAAATTGAGAAAGAATATCCATTTTTATCTGCTAGATATTTCCACAAAGCACAGGACTGTATATTTAATAATTGAGCATAAGGAGAGCTTTCAGGGAGTTCACACTGAATGGAGTGGGAGGAACAGAATAAGAGGGACTTTATTCTTCCTATTGCCCTCCTCCATCTCACAAATGTCCACTAATGGATGGCTGCCAGTGGTCACTGATGCAGTTAACAGCCTCAGTTAGGACAGGAAATAGAAACTTCCTAGGTTCTGTTGGCTGCTATTGTCTTCTGTCTTTGTGTTTTCTATAGTTCTGGGGTTTTTAAATAAGCAGCAGAAGCACTGCTGATCTCATGACTACAACTCACCTCTGCTTCACTAGTTGACATGTGAAATGTTGAATAAATGTGTGTCAGGTGAAACCTCAGAACTTTTTCTGATGGGCAGGGGAATCCTAACTAAGGTTAGCACATGAAATAATGTATGGTCCTTGACTTTAAAAACCCATCCAGCTCATGCTTGTCATGGTCAGTGCTAGAGGAACATTATCTGCTAGGGAAGGGAAGGCCTTCTGCTATTCTTTCTTTCCATTCCATTGCTTTCTTCGGAGAGGTGGTTATCTGTGCCATTTAAAGCCTATCATAGGTAGTGTGCCCAATTCTGAGGCTTCTAAGTGGAAGAGAGGGGTTTTGGATCAGTGGGTCCAAGAGTGCGTCAGATCTGCTTCCTTGAGGTAGCAGCAGTAATAAGATTCCTTTGTGAGCATTTTGGGTACTGCCAAAGCAGACATATCCCAATTAGTGTTGCTTTTTTCTATTAACAAAGGGGCCTTTCCCTTTCCCAAATCCCTTTGAGCCAGTGGATTTGGGGCTAGGATTGTTATCTCACTTGAATAAAATAATAATACATAAATAATGAAAAGCTAATACAAATCCTAAACCTTAAAATTTAAATTATGGTTGCAAGATAATCTTACCAACATCAAGAAGAAGAATTGCTAAATGATATTTGGCTTTAAAGGGTTTTTTTTTAATGGCAAGAGAGAAAGATCCACTGTGATTCATACGTTTAGCTAGTATTATGTGCTAAGTTCCTTAAAACATCCCTTTTGACTGTGAATCAGTTCATTCCAATTGTCAATATACTATATATTGCTCAGTGTTTAACATCTTGGATCCTTAAATTTAGAAGATTAAGCCTGGTTATTATAATAATGAAATAATGGCATTTCCAGTCTTGACTGATTTTTAAATATTTATTTTTACATTTAGCATTCAAAAGAAGACACTCTTCAATAGTTTCTCCATGATATTATAAACAGTTGATGTAACAATGGTACTAATACTGGGTCGCAGATTGAACAGAGGGGATAGTCGGGCCCAGGAGTCCCCAGTGACAAAGCGTAAAGTTTTTGAAATGGACCCAAAGTCCTTATCAGGCCATGAGTTCTTTGACTTCTCATCTGGATCATCCCATGCTGAAAGCATACTCCAGATCTTCAATGAATTTCGTGACAGTCGCTTGTTCACAGATGTCGTAATCTGTGTGGAAGGCAGAGAATTCCCCTGTCATCGAGCTGTTCTTTCTGCCTGCAGTAGCTACTTCAGAGCTATGTTTTGCAATGACCATAGAGAAAGCCGGGAGATGCTGGTTGAAATCAATGGCATTTTTGCAGAAGCTATGGATTGTTTTTTACAATATGTGTATACAGGCAAGGTAAAAATCACAACAGATAATGTGCAATATCTCTTTGAAACATCAAGCCTCTTTCAGATAAGTGTTTTGCGTGATGCTTGTGCTAAATTCCTGGAAGAGCAGCTGGATCCTTGCAACTGTCTAGGAATCCAGCGTTTTGCTGATACACATTCTCTGAAAACTCTCTTTACCAAATGCAGAAATTTTGCCCTGCAGAATTTTGAAGATGTGGCCCAGCATGAAGAATTTCTTGAGCTTGGAAAGGATGAACTTATTGATTATATTTGCAGTGATGAACTTGTAATTAGTAAAGAGGAGATGGTTTTTGAAGCAGTCATGCGCTGGGTTTACAGAGCTGTTGATCTCAGACGCTCAATGCTACAGGAGCTGCTCACACACGTGAGGTTACCTTTGTTACACCCAAATTACTTTGTTCAAACAGTAGAAGTGGACCAGTTAATCCAGAATTCCCCTGAGTGTTACCAGCTGCTGCATGAAGCAAGAAGGTACCACGTACTTGGAAATGAAATGATGTCACCAAGAACTAGACCACGGAGGTGAGAGGGTGTGATAAATTATTTTTCTGTTCCATTCCAAGGAAATTCTTCATTCTGCTGATTACTTTTGCTTAGACCTTTTTTGCTAATTGACCAGTTAATGTATTAAACTGATTGATTGTTCTGTATCATTTGTATAAAAGTATGGCTCATTTTTTTTCTTTTTTGAGATAATAAGAGCAATAGGAAATAGAATGTGTTACTTTGGTCAAGAAAGGTTAACAATCTGTTGTTTTAGAGGTGGGCACAAACCACTGATTTGGCCGTTTCTGCCAGTTCATCCTTTGGATGAACAGGTATTTGGCACTTCCCAGCCCTGTTTCCTCCTATGGGTGCCTACTCAGAGACAGCACCTGGAGGAGGCAGACCAGAGAAGCCGGGGTCTTGCCTTTGAGTGGGCGACCTCTGGAGGGAGGCATAGCTGGGAACTGCCAAAAACCTGTTTGTCCAAAGGATGAACCAGCAGTTTGTGCCCATCTCTATTCGTTACTTTTGAAACAAGACTCTTCACTGCTTTTGTTGCAATAGACTAATGAGGCTGTTCCCCCCCCCCAAAAAAATTAAACAAAAACAAGTGTCACTTTCTTTAATATGTGTTTGTAGGTTATGTGTTTGCAGGTCATTGACAATGCTTTATAAATGTGTACAGAATTGCTGAAATAATATGTAATGTTGTCACTGAAAGTTTTTCCCTACTTTTTTTAAACTGAGGAAACCTTCAAAACATGTTTTGTGTTTAACATTTTTCTTGAATTTGTGGTTAAACAAAAGCAAGTGTCACTTTCTTTAATATGTTTTTGTAGGTTATGTGTTTGTAGGTCATTGACAATGCTTTATAAATGTGTACAGAATTGCTGAAATAATATGTAATGTTGTCACTGAAAGTTTTTCCCTACTTTTTTTAAACTGAGGAAACCTTCAAAACATGTTTTGTGTTTAACATTTTTCTTGAATTTGTGGTTTCAATCACCTTTCAAATACTGTAACTTACAAATAATTGGATCTGTTTCTCGATTATGACAATGTTTGTTTTTCTTTTACTAGATCAACTGGCTATTCTGAAGTGATAGTTGTTGTTGGAGGCTGTGAACGAGTTGGAGGTTTTAATTTGCCATATACAGAATGTTATGATCCCATGACAGGGGAATGGAAATCCTTGGCAAAATTGCCTGAATTTACAAAGTCTGAGTATGCAGTTTGTGCTTTGAGGAATGATATCCTTGTTTCAGGTAAAAAAGCTGCACTGCACAAGTGTTACATGGAGATAGCTGGCAGACTATAGCTATTGTTATTTAAAGCAAAATGTGCTGCGTATATACCGCCTCATAGTGCTTCAAGCACTCTCTGGGCGGTTTGCAAGTTAATTATGCAGGCTACACATTGCCTCCCCAGCAAGCTGGGTACTCATTTTACTGACCTCGGAAGGATAAAAGGCTGAGTCAACCTTGAGCTGGCTACCTGGGATTGAACTCTAGGTTGTGAGCACAGGTTTGGCTGCAGTACAGCGGTTTAACCACTGTGCCAGGAGGCTCTCTTAAGTCAGTTTGTGAGTCCTGTGAGAAACAAAGTGTGCTCAAGCGCTGGTTCAAGAGCATTGAAAGATAAATGTCCAAGTGACATAGCTGTCCACTTTAGGGTAACATAAAAAGAGTTAACTTGTATAATTTTCCCTGAGGTGATATATGCAAGTTCCAAATACATGTGAAAGACATCCTTCTACAGGAAAGATGCCCAATTTTTCCCATTGGATGTTTCAGCAGACACTGGGTAAGCAACTATAACATTCCAAATTGTGTAGAGAACTTATCCAGAAAAGGGGACTTGAGTAAGAAGGTATCACTTTGATTGCTCACTAAGAATTCTTAGAAGTATTTAATGTGTTTTTTTCCCTGAAAGTATTGCATATTTGTGCATCTTGAGAATTTTGTCTTCAGTAGCATGTTTGTATCAAAATGAGACATTCTGTTTGATTGGGCACAATGGCACATGCCCCTTCTTTAATAATGAAATTTGTTGTCTTTTCTTTTTTTTAATAAGGTGGAAGAATCAACAGTCGTGATGTGTGGATTTACAATTCTCAACTTAATATCTGGATCCGAGTTGCCTCTCTAAATAAAGGGAGGTGGCGCCATAAGATGGCTGTCCTCCTTGGTAAAGTAAGAGATCTTTGTTATACTCAATCTCCTCAACATGGCAGAAGTGAAATTTGGAAACTGATCTTCCTCTTCTCATTTTACTAGCAAAATTTTTAACTGCTGTAATACATTTTTTCAGTTGTGCTTTTGCACCTGCACTGTGTAGATCAACACAGTACAGTGGTACCTCACATGACGACGATAATCCTTTCCAGGAAAATCGCTGTTAAGCGAAATCGTCGTCATGTGAAAAACAATTCCCCATTGGAATGCATTGAAACTCGTTCCTCCAATGGGGAAATTACCTCATCATCCAGCGAAGATCGCCCATAGGGAAAGCCATTTTCCGAGCGCTGATCAGCTGTTAAAATGGCTGCCTTGTGAAGCATGGGTCTGGAAAACACAGGACAGCCATTTTGCAGAGCCAGAAAGTCGTCATTTTGCGAACAAACGGGTTGTTACGAAGCAAGGACCTAATCGTCAAACGAAAATCCCCCAGCGGTCGCAAAAAAGTCATCGTCATGCGGGGTCGTTGTCATTTAATTTTGGTTTGCATATATAAGTAAATTATATTTAACCTACAGCAGGTCACAACTGAAAAGACGGACTTTGAATAATTTGTACATGCATAAATAAGCAAGGCATAAACATATACTGGTAACATGCTGATTTTACTTTTAAAGGTATATGTGGTTGGAGGATATGATGGGCAAAGCCGATTGAGCAGTGTGGAATGTTACGACTCATTTTCCAATCGATGGACAGAGGTAGCTTCTCTTAAAGAAGCAGTGAGTTCTCCAGCAGTTGCCAGCTGTGTAGGCAAGCTCTTTGTGATTGGTGGAGGCCCTGATGACAACACATGCTCTGATAAGGTTGAGTAATTTTATTAATTTTCTTTGACACTTATTTGCTTTCCTTGCCCCCCTGTAAAAACCTTCCTTTATTGTGCCATATAGTAGTTGGGTGATCTGGGTTTCACTTTCTTGAGCTTGTTTTTTTTTACCTAGCAGCAGACACAGAGTTTACATCTCATGTTATATGAAGTTGGCCTCTTTCAAGTAAACCATACAAATTCAGTCCAGACAGTCGTAACAAGTCATAGTTAATTAGAACCTTCCAAACTCCTCATAAGAATGCCAGGTGGGGAATATACAATCCCAGGAAGAACAAAGACTGGTTCATGTGATGATAATTCAGTTCAACTTGATGACAAAATATATCCATTGTCCTTAAAAAAAAATCAGTTTCTAGTTTATGTTCCAAGAAGGAAAGTATGGGTTTTTTTTTCAATAACCTGCGCTACACAGGTAATAGTTTTGAGTTTTCAATCGTTTTATATATTCTGGTTTTCCAGATGTTGCATTATTCAAGTAAAAGTATCTGGCTCTACATTGATTGTTTAGGGTTTGTCACAGTATCCAGGACCAATCAGATAAGATCAGTTCCTTGCCCAGTGTTTTCACATGCTTCTCTGTTCTATCTGAGAGGATTTTTGTTTTTGGGGGGTTTTTTTATTTTATTTTCCTGGATGTTTTTTCAAGAGAGTGCCAGGGTTCATGCTACAGCACTTCCTGTGGAGAGGCTACCAGTATGGAGTCTTTAATTAGGACTTCAGGTTAGTTTTAAGAATTGGAAAAATTGCTGCAGAAGCAAAGCTGCAGCAAGGAAGTAAATGTGCAAGGATTTCTTTTTTTAGAGAAGCAGTTTTTGGAGAGATGGTTTTTGCAGTGTTATGTACATACAAACACTGGTAAGCCCTAGTCTCCTTTGAGACAAACTACAAGCAGCCATGCCACTTTGTCATTCTGCTCAAGCCATGAGTGAATTCATGTAAGATCCAAGGAATCTTTGATTAAAGCAACTATTAGAACTTACTATTTCTTCTTCTTTTCAGGTTCAGTCCTATGATCCTGATACTAATTCTTGGCTGCTCCGTGCAACAATCCCTATTGCAAAGAGATGTATAACGGCTGTATCACTAAACAATCTTATTTATGTTGCGGGAGGGCTCACAAAGGCAATATATTGCTATGATCCAGTTGAAGATTATTGGATGCATGTACAGAATACATTCAGCAGACAGGTATAGCCAAGAACTAGCAAAGATGCTGATTTGCATAAAGTGGTTTCTTTCAATTAACAATATATGGATATTTTTATTTGAAAAGAGTGAAGAATTATTTGGGAGTTCAGTAAAATTACATCTATGAGAATTAGTCTGTGCAAAGAATCCGTTTCTTTAAATTTTAGTTTACTGGAATTGGAATTGATTTTTAATTTGTTTATTTTTATTTATTTATTTAATTTATATGCCACCCACACTAACCAAAGGTCTCTGGGAGGCTTACAACAATTTAAATACAGTGAAAAGATAAAACAATTAAAATACAATTAAAATACATTTTCAACTGGCTAAATGCTACAATTGTTTATTGGCATGCTTAGTTGGATTCCTTGTATTTAGTCCAAACGTTAAATGAAGTCTAGTGAGCTTTAAAAAGCTGTTTAAATCAGAATAATGGAACAGAAACACAAAGTAGAGGGAGCATCAATCTTATCTGTTTCACATATTTATGAAAATTATACATGTTGCGTGTAAAAGATAGGTATAATATATTAAACACCCTCAGTACAAAAGCATTTTGGCATTAAAAAGCGCTTAGAAACTTTGCAGTTATGAAGGCAGGACAACAGAATCTGCATTGCCAAAGAGTTGCTCTTTAGAATATAGCTTTTTATCAGGTTTCCACTTGTTTTTAAAAAGTGTAGAACCATTTTTATAATGGCCCTTCTATCCCATGTGCTTATTCAGGGTAGTTCACAATTTAATTTAAAGCAAAACAAAAACAGTCCACTAATAACAAGCCAAAAAGCCACCAGACCGAATAAAACCAGGAATGTGTCTTTAAATATGATTGAAATTATTAGGAAAGAAGCACACAAAAATGCACAATTACAGAGGTGGAGGTGGGCTGGAATTTACTTACAGATATAGTAGTGTGGTCACACTGCTTTTGGAAACCAGGAAACTCTTTACACTTAGTTTTAATTTATGCTTTAGCCCACACAGCACATGCTATTTTAGAAAAAAAATTATACATTGATATATATACCTCTAAGACTGAAGGGTACAGGTTAATGCTTCTGGTTCAGAATCTTTGACTGATGAAAGCTATAGCATAAGGCCTTAACAAATGCTCATACACTGCAGCATGCCATGCAGTTTTAAATACCATCAGTGGCATCTGTTGTACCAGAAGCATGTAAGAGATGTATTTACAGGGAAATTTTCCTTTCTTCAAGATTAGTTATTGCTGATGTTTTGCTACTACATTTTCAAAAACTGATTCTGCTTTACTAATTTTGTATTTCACTCATTTTCTTATTTTGTGGAGCATTTTCTGTTTTATGTATTTGCGAAGGTTTTCACGACCGGGATCTAATGGTTGTTGTGGGTTTTTCGGGCTCTTTGGCCGTGTTCTGAAGGTTGTTCTTCCTAATGTTTCGCCAGTCTCTGTGGCCAGCATCCTCAGAGGACAGCACTCTGTGCTCTGATCAGGTAATAGTGCTGTCCTCTGAAGATGCCGGCCACAGAGACTGGCGAAACGTTAGGAAGAACAACCTTCAAAACATGGCTAAGAGCCTAAAAAACCCACAGCAACCATTTTCTGTTTTCTTTAAAATGGTTTATACAACTGAGAGTCCTATCTAGTAAATAAATTTGTGCTCTTCTAGTTGCATTCTGTTTTTAGTCTTATGGCATCTTTCTTCATTTGCTGCAATTTCTTGTTTAAATCTTGATTCTCTTCACTTTTTCTCCTATATACTTCTGTTGGTTTGAAGATAATAAAGCTAACTGCTGTATATCTGCAAATAGCTGTATATAGAAGTACTGTATATAGGAGAAAAAGTGGAGAGATAGCTGTATTACTCCATTATAACAAGTTACATCAGCTCACCCTGTAGATGCTGCAGACGCTTTCTAGTATAAATTATTCTCTTAGAGTATTCTTTGTTTAGAATTTATATAGCCTTTTGTGATCATAGATTGCGGAGTTTAGAGTGAGCCATGCCAGGTTTGCATTGGAAACAGAAATAAGCAAATGCTACAAAACAAAATGGCTGAAATCCTGTTAATGTAACTATGACTATGGAAGGGCGATGATCACCAGCAGGGTGGAGATTTTCAGTAATTAAAAAATTTCTCCTCCATGGCTTGTCTGACTTGTGAATAATCTGTTTCACCATGGAAGGAGTATTTAATTACTGAAGATGTTCCCCTGTGGGTAATATCATCCAGCAATGGAGATACTTTCATCCCATGTCACTTTTCACCTCCCCCCCCCCACCTTACCTGCTGCAACATCATGATTACCCTACGTTTGTCTCTTTCTTCTTCCAAAGAATCATGGCAAGGGTGAGTCTTCCCTGATTTTCCTCATTTTTCCATGTCTCTTTAGAGTATAATGTCAAAATCCTTCCTTCCCTGTCTATTTATTCCTGATTTTAGGGTGGCTGCAGTTCTCCACAAATGTCAAACATTTGGGGGATGTCAGTCCTTAAGTGAGCATGGAAAAGCATTGTAGTATGAAGGACTTTGCGTTATAGTGTGAAGACATAGTACTGTAATTAATTTACTAACTGTAATAAAATCTTTCCTACTGTTGAAATTAGTTTCACAAACTAAAAAAACACAGCATGAAACTTAATGTGGTAGTTCATGGACTGAGTGACAGGCTAGCAATATGAAAAAAAAAAAACTAGAAGAGCCCTGAAGATATATTAGGAATAAATGGTCAATCAAGAAAGGCATCCAAGTTAGATTTTACTTCAGCAGATTTCTTTCAGGAGCATCAGCAGGAAGCTTTTTTTGAATCAAAGACAATGTGTTTTATGTTTCAATTAATACTTGTCTTTATATATTTTGATGCACAGGAAAACTGTGGTATGTCTGTGTGTAATGGCAAAATCTATATCCTTGGTGGGAGGCGAGAAAATGGAGAAGCCACAGATACCATTCTTTGTTATGACCCTGCAACCAGCATCATCACAGGAGTAGCAGCCATGCCAAGACCAGTTTCCTATCATGGATGTGTGACTATTCACAGATACAATGAAAAGTCCTTTAAACTGTAAAGAGAGGGAGAGAGATAGAGATTATTTGAATAACGAACCAGTGGCATGTTTTTTTATTCAGGTTCTGAAAGATAATAAGAAAAGTAAAGTTTCCTTTTACAACATGTCTTGAAAGAAAGAAAAAAACATTGTGCTTCTTGAAATTTTAAATGCATTCAAAAGTAACAATTAGATATTTCCAGAAATTGTAGTTGAATAATTTCTGGTCTGAAAACTGTATTATTAATTGGATAATGTTCACCTTTATTATCTTTAATCAACGCCTTGGATTTTGGTTGTGGAACATTGCTTTTGCAAGTATTCATGCCTGTTTTATATTGACTATTATCTGCATATTTTCATCGCTTTTTGGTTAAATGTTAACAATTACCGTCAAAGATACATGAAAGTTTGCATTCATATCCATAGCAATGTACAGATATTCTAAAAAGAAAACTACTGTTTTGTCAAATTGGCTTTTTCAGCTTTGTTCTTTTGTATGTATACCAGCATTGTTATTATATCTGAAGGGAAAGAATTAAACAACTTCAAAATACTGTTTTGGGGTGCAGGGTAGCAGTATTCAAACAGGAAGCAGTGATGTACTTCTATATCCTGCTGTTTCCACCACAACTGGTGATCTCCTCAGTCTACAGCACCACTCTCTGAAATATGCTTTTTACACCATAGTGTGCTGCAACAGGAGAGGGAGGGGAAGAAAGTCCTGATTCCACTGGATACAAAAATAGACCACTCAACCTTGGCCTTAGTCTGTTGCGGAAAAGAAAATAACATTTTGTTGTTTCAAAAAACCATGTTCTTCACTATAAGCACTGCTCCTTTCTTCCCAAATAAGCACAATATGTATTTAAGATTGTTCAGTTAAAAAAGCAAATGAGCTTTGCATTATTCTTATACAGTGAGAGAATTTCTTTGAATACTTCTGAACCAAATCTTTAAACCTCTTCATTATCCCTTGTGTGTTCCAAATACTCATGTGTAGTAAGTATATCTGAGTGCAGCAGGCAACAATTATTCATCTGAAATCCCCTGTAAAACCTATGCATTTTGATTAAAATTAAAGAGATGATCTTCTTGTGGCTGCACAATACCCCAGGTTCAGTAGTCTGTTATCATGGAATATAATGTTGAGAGTGGAAGTTCTCAATTCATTCACATTGTGCAGCTGCTGTTTAAATTTCAGCACATAGTACTCCTTGCAAAGAATGAGTAAATCTAGTGCATTTATTCCAGTCTCTAGTGAAGATTTCTCTATTTCTGGTTACAGATTTAGTAAATATACATGGACTTGGCATTGCATTTTGGTTGTCACATTTTTTTGGATCAGACTATCCAAAAAACAGCCATTCATTATAAATAATAACTGAGCCAACTGTACAAGAGAGAAAGTTAGTTGTAACAGCATAACTAGACATGAGAAGTCAATTGCCAAACCATATTTTTATTTGGTACTTTCATGTCAGTTTCCTGAGCCTGCCTTTAATGAGTTTACTAAATAGGATATATGACAAACTTCGTATTCACATTTTATTTGCAATTTAGAATACTTATATTCTGAATACTTTGATTCTTCATAGGATCCTTGATAACTATGCTAATGCAAGCTAATCCCTAATCCCTCAATTATTAGAGAAGTTATGCTTATCATTCTACCTTCAACAGAATCTCAGGTATATACCTGACATTCCTGCAATGATATATACTTGCTTACTGCTTATTTTCCTATAAATTGACATTTCATATTCATATAACTTAGGTTGTTAAGCAATAACAATAACTTCCAGTTCCCCTCATACTAAATGCGCATCATGGCTATCTTAACTTTGAATGTGGTTGTTCTAAATAGTGATGTTGTGTTGCATTCAGTCCAGTTGCCCAGATTCATCAACCAATAAGTTCTTTTCACCATACTTTTCGTTTTCCATTCATTTTACTGTGAATAATCCAATGTAACCGTTGGACTTTTTGTTTCTTATTGCATGGCCAGAGTATTCTTGCTTTATGCCTTCTTTATTTTGAAAGCTGGAATACTGTCACATAAAAATGAAAAGTACAGTTGGTTACAACTTACAAGTAATCATTCAAGATAAAGAAGATAAGAAACAATCCTTAAAATATTTAACCTGGAACATTCCAGTCAGTGTCAATTCATTAATTCTTTTCATTAATTCAATTGGGATTTAAGCCTTGTTCCTTCATTTTTAAAAACCTTTTCAAATGTAGATGCAACTATTGAGTAATTATTGGAGGAGTTCTGCTACTATTCACACTGACCAAAATCTTAATGATTAGTGTAACAAATTGTGATAGCTTAGGCCCGCTGAACCTAAGGGGATTTGACAGTCATCTCCTACATAAATTCTATTGATTCAAATAGGCCTACTGTAACTGCAATTTTATATAAATAAGCAACGTTTCTCTCTTAACCAAAGATTTGATTTTTATGGCTAGTATTTCTGCTATTTAAAAAATCTGACAAGATAAATACATAAAATATACATCATTTTAGCATTGTCCCATTAAAAAATAATTAACCAAATAACCATGACATTACTCCCTTCAGATATACAAACACTGAAACAATACAGTTCACAATTGGTAGGTCCTATGTAATTTACTGAATATTACTAGTAGTTGCTGTTGTTTCATGGCCTTTGTGTTGCAGTCAGCACTGAGCTTGGTTCCCTTCAATATTAGGACATTCATGGATTATGTATGTGTGCCTTTCATTGGCTTGTTTTCTCCTAGCATCAGTTTATACTCCACCAGTCTACAACACCCATAATGCCTGCTTCCTTAAATTATATATTTTGCAACATACCTTATTGGGGATTATGTTCATAATGCCTGTTAAGAGTTCCTGTTTATAGATATAAACTAACCTGGTGCTGTTGTGTATTTGAAAATGGTACAAGTGCCAAAACCTTTCTATATAAATCTAGCATATTACCACCTGTAGCAGATTTTACCCACTTGGTATCTAAGAAGTTTTATCTTCCTCCTATGCTCACTGTTCCCTGCTCTCAGACTCCACTTAAATGAAACTGATATGGACAAAAGACTGTAATTTGCATCCTTCAACAACATTTGTTATGTATTTTATTATTTAACTCTGCTGGATTCAGCCTGCTTTCCTACTGTCTTTATTTCTCCATGTTGGTTTTCTGGCTCCAGCTTCTAACCTGCACTTCAATGCTGTCACATAAGTTAGGTTTCTCAAATGTGATACTGTATGTACTTATTCAGAAGTAAGTTCAAAACAGCAAAGTTGGGCACCCCTTCTAAGCTTGTAGAAGATTACTGTCACTGTGGTCTGAACCCTACATTGATTGTGCCTTGGCCATGATCATGATTGTGAACATAGAGCAAGGTCATCCACCACCAAGTGATAAATTCCATTTATATGTGGAATGGACATTCAAATAATTACAAACCTTAATTGTTTAGTTATAGTCTTGTAGCCTTATTAATCAAAAATCAAACATACCCCATTCTTGGCAAGTTCATACATTTTCATAGAATTTTTCTTGCTCAGCACAACTGCACAGATACTTTGGTATGCAGAAATAAAATACTGGCTAAAATCCTTCTGTATTTTTACACCACTGTAACAACTGCACAGAGCTGCAAGTTAAAATGCTAGAGGAGCCATTTGCTGCTGCATGATAAACTCTGCAACTGGGCACATAATAAGAAATGCCTGTGCTAACTTCTTGCACATGTAGCCAAGATTTACATTGATTCTGTTGCATCAGCAAGCATATCTAGTAAGATTTTAGTCTTTCAAGTTGACGGGAAAATTTGGCACAGCTATAATGAAAGCAAAGTATTGTAAATGGTGAAGAAATACTCAGGAATAACCTACTTAATTTTCTATTGAAATCAAACATGTATTTATTTGTCCAGTGATGTCAGGTGAAAAGAAAAACTAGGTGACTTAAATTAATAGGCTATTTTAAGATTTTTTTTGCTAATTTCTTTAGACTTTGTAAGCAATAATCCTTCCTGTGAATAAGGATTATCTACAGTTAAGATTGCCTATGCTCCCTTTTATACAATAAATTATCAGTGCAATCATTAAGAAAAATAGTAATTAACTATGCTCTTAGGAAGGTCTATATGTGTGTTTTTATGCTGTACAAATATAATGCTTATATTACAGTTATGTCTGAACTGTGTATATACAATTGTATATATTTTGTAAATACCTTCAGCTTTTTACAGTTGTGAACGTTCCAGTTATAATTGCAATCTCTTTTCTATAGATTTTTTCTGCTTATATAAAATTTGAGATAGAGTATTGATGCTAAATATTTTGTGTAGAGCCTGTTAGTCTTCTGCAGGTTTTGTAAATGATTTATATACTTCATAAAATACTTGCCGCTTAGTCCTACATATATTTGTTCACAAGTAAATCTATGTTTAATGTAGATTGAACATAGATCTGTACAGATTTGTGCTGTTGCAGTTTCCCACTGAAAACAATTGTTCAATTAATAGTAATAGTAATATTTCTTGGCCTCTCATTGTTTCACTTGGTATCAATTCTAGAACTATCTTGCTAAAAGCCTTGTCATAATGCAAAACTAAGGATGTATCTGCCAAATGAAAATATCTCATTGCATTTGGCTAGCTCAAGAAATAGTCACAGCAGTTTCAGAAATCAAATAACATGTTCAGTCACTGTTAGTTACAATGGCTGCATTTTTAAAATTCTTGCTCAAGGCTGTGAACTTGTATTACCAGTTGCATGAAAGAAGTGGTCAGTAAGAAGGAAAGAAGTAGGCATGCACATTTAACAGTTCGTGTATTGGACACGGATTCAGTCTTGAAAGAACCAGATTTATATCTTCGCTTCCATTTCTCCAAATGGTCAATAATGGAAATTATTTCAGTTGTAACTCAATTCTTTAAAAATGATTGCATCCAACATTTTAAAACAAGTGACTTCTTGGAAAATCTAGTGTATTTTATTTTAAACTATATTAGGTGCATGCACTATTAAGCACTCTGAAAGGGATAATTTCACAAGACCACAGATCAGATTTAGCTGTTTGACAATGACATTTACAAGGATTCAGTTGTTCAGCTCTCTAGTTAGTTAAGCCAACATTCCTTTTCCATTCAGTGAAACAATTTTCTGAGTATATGTCCATACTACCAAAAAATGGCAGCTAACCACTCATGAAACCCAGCAGGTGAGATCTTCCAGTTATAAATCAAGGATCTGAATTAGGAATAGTACTTTTAACTATTTTACTGCTCTTAATAATATGCTTTATGACTATATTGCCCTACTTAAGGTTATTTCAGAACATTTATCATGCATTCTTGTAGTACTCAAATGCATGTTGCTATTTTAATGTTTTGTATATGTATTTATAAGGATGTATAAGGATGTGTGATTTGTCTCTGATGATCATTGATAAATGATAATGTTTAAAGCTACTGTGTATGGTTTGTAGTAGTATTTAAGTGAGGGTGAAAAGCATGAGATTGTAGCTTATTTTGTATAATTAATCCAAAGAATAGAACTAGTATGTTTTTAAACAAATTATTCTTGGTGTAATTTCTGCCAAAAAAAATCCAAATTCAGAATAAATGTTGCTAATTTGTATAATTCTGCTTTACATTCTTTCTACTTTGTAGGAATTGGGCTTTTCGCTCAAACAGCCTCATAAAAGGATATGCAGTCCTTGAGATAGCTTCGGCCAAAGGCTTTTAGGGCTTTATAGAATCAGCACTTTGAATTCTGCCTGGAAAAGGACTGGCGGCCAGTAACAGGGATTATGTGATCCCTGTGACCAGTTCCAGTTAGCAATCTGGCTGCACAGGCAGCCCCATGTAGTGTGTGTCACAGTAATCCAGCAAGGATGTAACTAAGGCATAAGTCACCATGGCCAGATTGGACCTCTCCAGGAAAGAGTGCAGCTGGCACGCTAATTTTATTTGTGCAAATGCACTCCTGGCCGCCACTGGAACCTGGGCATTCAGGTTCAGACTTACCAGGAGCACCTCTCTTGTCCTGATTCAGTTTATTCAGTTTATTTACTCAATCCATTACTGATACTAGACACTGATCTAGAGCTGAAACAGCTTCCTCAGAATTAGATGGCAAGAAGAGATACAACTGGGTGTCATCTGCATATTGACAACATTAATATTTGAATTGCAGTTTACCATTGAAATTATATCTGCAACTAGGTGTCATCTGCATATTGACATTAATTGCAGTTTACCATTGAAATTATATCTGCAAAATTCTGAAAAATAAGGAGCTTGGATTCAAACAATTTTGTGTCCTGAAATGGGTTCAGAGCTTCTCCAAGTCATGTTACTACCATCTGATGCTTCTAGAGTGTTTCTTGTAGCCTATTAAGTTCAACGCTGCAGATAACATGGTTCTAATTAGTAATTTAAATGTTACCTGTGGAATGTTGGTCTTGGAACTGGATCCACCATTGGACTGCAATGGATCAGGCCAAGGTCTTCTTTGAATTTGACATGCTGACTAAAACAGGTTCCCTTGATCTATATCAGAAGTGGGGAAACTGCATCCCACAGTAACTGAACATGGAACCCCATACCTCACCCAAAATATATTTTAAAATAGGATGGCTGGTTCAGAAAGTCCCATCGTGGGGCACAGAAGACAGTTTTACCATCTTTTCAGGGTCTTCAGCATTCCTGGACTTCACATCCCATAACTGTGTATTTTTTAAAAAGACTGCATTGTTGAGCTTGATAGGCTACTAAGAAGCATGGGAGCATATTTTCAATTTTTCAAAACATCCTTTTAAAAGAATATTATTAGAGTATCTAGGGTGCAGGACTAGGCATAGGTCTTCATGGTTGAGGTGTGTGTGTGTGTGGCCCTCAGACCTCTGGAGATTAACCACTCCTGTTCTAAACAAATATAAAGACTAAGCTGTGGAAGTAGTAGTTGCACTTGTAATTTACACCTGCCAATCTGCTACTTTATTGACATAAGAAGTATAATTTTTTGAAACAAACTGGGGTCACACATAACCATAATGGCAAAAGCTCTGCTATAATATATATTGAAATTAGCAAACAACAAAGAATCTATTAAAAGAAGGTTCCCTAAAGAAAACAGAAGTGTGGATGAGTAGGATGAACGCAAGCAGACAATAATGGATGGGAAAGGGAATTTTGAGCATCATATCACTACTAGCCTCAAGAGTAACAATTAAGGCATCTATAAATACTTCGTAAATGAGATATCAGTTGGAGCAAGAATTAGCTTGACATACTCTGGATAACAGTACTAGAAGTGGATAAAGAGATTGCAGGGAAGTTGGAGCTGTCACTAAACATACACAGAAATGAGATGGTATAACTTCTAAAAGGATTCTGACAAAATTTCACACCAAAACCCCAGAGAGAAACTCAGCAGCCATGAGAAAAGAGAAGACACCCTCATAAGAACAAGGAACTTGTTCAAGGACTCAAAGGCTGTGGTGAAAATGGTTAGTACTTACAATGGAAAGAACAGCCCAAGAGATTTGACATGGCTGCTTCGCAGCCCTTGGTGTAGTGATGGATTTGGAAGTGGAAGTGCTTATCACAACAGTTCCCACTCCAAAAGATCCAAAACTGTAGGTGGCTAGACTGGCCCATAGCAACAAAAGAGCAGATCTTTTGTAAAATTAACAGCTCTCAATTGCCCATTCCAAACTAAATCACTCAGCATGAGTGCTGGGAAATGAGAGCTTGGCAAAACCACTTCTGAGTAGACTTGAGGTTTACGTATCTGCGTGTTTGAACTGAGCGGTAGTCCAAAAACAAAAATGGGAGGACTACCATAAATTGGAATTGACATGGCATATAATTACGTTAATTATTATATATTAACCAGATCTTGGGTGCATGACTGTCCAAGATCTGTTTGCCAAATCTTGGAGTGGCCATACTGAATGAGGGATTCTGGGAGGTTTTTTTAAAAGTACAGTAACTTGTCCAAGTTCTGATACAAATTGACTTAAAAGAATCTAGTGGAAACATAGCTTCACTTTTGTTACTCAGTATGCCATACACATACTGACCGCCAAAGAATTAATGCTTTTGAATTGTGGTGCTGGAGAAGACTCTTGAGAGTCCCCCGGACTGCAAGGAGATCAAACCTATTCATTTCTACGGAAATCAACCCTGAGTGCTCACTGGAAGGACAGATCCTGAAGCTGAGATGCCAATACTTTGGCCATCTCATGAGAAGAGAAGACTCTCTGGAAAAGACCCTGATGTTGGGAAAGTGTGATGGCAAGAGGAGAAGGAGATGACAGAGGACGAGATGGCTGGACAGTGTCATCGAAGCTACCAGCATGAATGTGACCCAACTCCGCGGGGCATGGAAAACAGGAGGGCCTGGCGTGCTCTGGTCCATGGGGTCACGAAGAGTCGGACTCGACTTAACGACTAAACAACAACATGCGATACACAATCGTGACACACAGTTGTCTGAAGATGCACGATCGCCGCGCTCCACTACCGGCTCCTGGTCTATTTAAATTACTTTCTAGTCTTCCAGGTTTCGTCACCCTCTGAGTCTGGAACACGGATCGCCTGAGGCCAAGATCCTCCCCGTCACCCTGACCAGCTCGAAGCGAAGGGTGAAAACTGGTTGTGAGGAAACCGGAGCCCGAGGCATTCGAGTCCTTGACCCTCCCCCCCTATGAACTTACAATATCTCCTGCTGCGGCCCCAGCCGCAAAATCTGCCCTGGCGAGGTTTCTCCGGTTATTTCCAAGGAGCAAGACTGGCTGGAGCAGGTCATCCCCTCCCGGGTGCCATTCATATTACACGGACGTCCCCGGGACGTCCCTTGACCACGCAACGCTCCCGGGTGGGTGGCAACAACAACAAAGCCTTCAAAAATAACAGTATGTGGCCTGGGCTTGCGTGGCCGTGAGCCCACTTCTGCTGTGGCGACGGGCAAGCGAGCTCCCTAAGGCCGCCCCGCGCACCAGGTTCCCTCGGTCTCCCCGCCGTGGCGAAAGGGGCGACCCGGCGAGTGGCACCTTGAGTATCGCTGAGGAGCGCACGCGTTCCCGCCGCCGCCGCCGCGCGCCCCCCTTCCACCCTCTTTCCCCGCCACTCAGGCTCCCTCTCGGCCTGCGCTCCAATGCCCGCCCCTTCCCCGCTCTCCGCCTGCGCGGCCGCGCCCCTCCCTCGCCCTGACAGAGGACGGCGCTGATGGCGGCTGCGCGTTGCGGGCGGTGGCCTTGCTGAGCCTGGGGTTGGCTGGTGGTGAGGAACCGCCGGCTGCGGCGGCGGCGGCCTTCCGGGGGGGTGTCTGGTTCGCCCGGCGGGGAGTGGCGCCGCTGGAGCCGTCGGGTGGCCTTGCTGAGCCTGGGGTTGGCTGGTGGTGAGGAACCGCCGGCTGCGGCGGCGGCGGCCTTCCGGGGGGGTGTCTGGTTCGCCAGGCGGTGAGTGGCGCCGCTGGAGCCGTCGTTTTCCTCCGTGCCTTCCCGGGCTGAGGGAGGGGCAGGGCGCGCGCGCGCGTTTCAAGGGGGCGAGCGCCCCCCTTTGGCGCGGGCTCGGCTCCGGGAACAGACTTGGGTGGGGGGGGGTTTGTCTCCTGCCGGAGGGGGCGAGGCGTTTTGTCTGCCCGAGAGCCCGCTGAAGTTTGCTCGCCGTAGAGAACTTCGCCGGAGCGCCCAGCCCTGCCCTGCCCCGTGCGCGCCCGGAGTGCAGGCTGGATCCTAACCAACTGGATTGACTTGGAAGTGAGATCCCAGATCAGTTTCGATTAACTTAATTTCAATTTTGCACTTTAATCTGCAGCTTTGCAGACGGAGCCTCACTTGAGTCCACGACGCTGACTTCAGTGGGACTTACATCCCAGTCCACGTGCAGCCCTGGGTTGCTACGGCGCTGCACGTACCTCTTCTGTTGTTCTCAACTGGCTTCAGGATGGGTAGACGTTGCCTAGGATTGGGGCATCACGAGAGTAGCCTTGCGGTCAGATTTTATGATTACTAGAGAAATAGGTCTCGTGGTGGACTCCTTCCCAGTGCATCTAGAACTGGAGCCCTGCTATTTGTTGGAAGCCTAGCCTTGGAGGCCACCCTGCTGAGTTGTAAAGGTGTTGATGCGGGTTAGAGTTTGCTGTGATGGTTGGTGTGCTGCTGTTTATGCTTTCCTGCTTGTTTTCCTCCAAAAGTTGTCAGCACACAATAGTTTTGTCCGGAAAAGGAACCTAGGGTGGCTACTTTCAAACTAGCATACCGTATTAACTCTTTGAGCTTGGATCTCTGCACCAGCATCCCAATCATAATAGACCACATTAATTACACTTTGATAGCAATGCTTTGGAGCAGCACTTGCTACAGGTTGTCAGGACAACTTGAGCTGTCAGCTTGGTATTTTATTTTGATCGCCCGGGACTACCTCCTATCATTGACCATGAACCATGACTCTATCCTTGCACATTTGCAAAGGTCTTAAAGATGTGATAGCTCTATATGACGGGGATAGTTCAGTGAGTTAAGTATCTGGCTGCTGAACAACCAGAGGTTGGTAGTTTAGTTCCCCATTGTGCCTTCTGTGCGAAGAGCCAGCCTGTATGATATTGAGCAAGTTGTGGAATCCCAGGATGCCCCCAGAAGAAGGGAGTAGAAAACCACTTCTGAGTACTCTCTGCTTAGAAAACCTTGAAAGGATCACCATAAATCGGAATTAACTTGACAGCACATTGTTGTTGTTGTTAAGGATATGAAATTAGAAGTTTGGAGTTTCTATAATGCCAAAAGTGAATGTCTGACCCTGTCTAGCAGAATATGCTGGAAGATGGAGTTGAAAGTGATGTATTTATTGATGTAAACAATTATTTGTTTAACAGGGGTACATGAAAAGGTGGAGGGCGCAGAGGAGTCTTCAGGTGAGCCATATTGACATTAGCAGGAAATCCATCTTGTGTGTCTCATACTTCTGAGGTACAGTAAAATATTTGTTCATTTATATTATCCACTGTGTGTTTCTGTGTCTGTGTATTTGTGTGTGATAGACCGATCTTGTCAATCACCTTCCTTGCTCATCAGCCACCCTTCTTCCTAAGGAAAATGAGCCAAGGTTTCTGCTTGTGTTGGAACTCTTCTGCCCACAGTGGGGGAATCTCTATGTCCAGTTTTTCTTCATTATGAAAGTCATTGAGAGGAGGATGTATCATCATCACCATCTTAGAACTGTAGAGCTATGGCCAGAAAGACTATCTACAGCTGTCCCATTCTGAGAACACCTTTGCAAACCTATGACTGATCATAAATTAATTACCCACCATGATGGGAATACGTTTGTTTTTCTTAAAAAGGCCTGACATGGAATAAAAACCAAACAAAACTTGCAGTGACCCACCCTTCCTCCCAACTAGTATAAACCCAGCAAGATTTTGAATACTTTAAGAGTCTTTAGTACGACCCGTTCACACACTCCTTTACATGTAGGGTTAACCCATTTGTTGTCTTACCTAGCCCATCATGGCCTCTATCCAGTAGGTTTTTTTCTGGTTTTCTTAGTGCTCCATCCTATACTCTGGAAAATCCAAGAAAAACAAGTACAAGCATTATCAGCACTGCAACAATAGATGTGTGGGTCTGTTTGTGTTACTAATACTTATAATTGATGTTGCATATGATAATAACATGGTTTCTTCCCCTTGTGCATGTAGTTTGTGTTAACTTATTTTTAGTTTATGCCAGAAGGCTCTATAGATGAATAAAGTTCACAGTTTCTTATGAAAATAGTGAACCACTTTGTAGATTAAGAAAATGGCATCCTGCAACCCTCTAGATGTTGAACTGCAATTCCTGTCAACCCAGAGAGTGATCAAGGACAGAGGAGTTGATTTCCCATTTCCGTCTCATACCATCTCAGTAGCGACAGGGAAGCTGGTTTGAGAGACACTTGTGTTGTTTGTGATGCTTTGATTTAATGTTTGGTATTTTGTTACCTCTTTCCTCCAGCAAAGAGGCCAAACATGTCGGGAGTCAAGAGGACAATCGATGAGATGGATCCAGACTATGAGGAGATCTCAGTTGTACATACAAATAAACACCACAAAGCATCTGAACAATCAGGTACAGATTTGTTTCCAGGCTGAATGGAGGTAGCAGGGAGGAAGAGTCAGACTTTAAGCCTGTGTTATATTAGTTCTCCCAAATGTGCAAAGATTTGTGGTTTGTTTGTTTGCTTGTTTGTTTTTCTCTCATAGTATCACTAGTATTTTAAAACTGAAAGAGCTTGACTGATGGATCAGGAAATGTTTCGTTTAAAATAAATAAATAAATTACAAGATTGGTACTTCATTTCAAATGATACTACTTTATATCTGGATAAGACTCTTTTCACATGATCTGCATAGCCAAGGTAGTGGCACCAAGCTTACCAAGAAGGTGGGAAATTTTTTCGGTGTGGTGGGACATGTGACAGGTGTGTTCCTATCATCAACAGATTATTACAGATACTTATGCTGTTTATACATTTTTTAAAAGAGATAATCCATATGTTTTAACATAAATGACTGAAATCCTGCTTGCAGCATAAACCCAAACCTAATTGTCTGTTGCTTCATTATAGACATACTGCCATAGACGTGGTTCTCAAGGAGAATAGATGCACCAATCTACCATGTGCGTCCACTCCCAAAAAATTGTAACTATTTACGAGGGAGGAACACAGAAAGTTAGATTTCATAGGATTTCAGTCATTAGTTGTTTTTGTTTATCTACTGAACATTTGTCCAAACAGGCTCCGGATCTCAGAAACTGGTGGGCAATTGGGTGTCCTCCAGATGTTTTGGACTATGACTTCCATAGTCCCTGAAAATGGGCTGTTCTGGGCAAGGTTTATGGATTTTATAATCCATATTATTTCAAGGACATGAAGTTGCCTGCTTCTGGGTAAAGCTGTGAGCTGTGATTCATGCTGCTGAAATTTGTGGTGTATCTTTGTGTTATATTGTTTCATAACTGTGTTTTGTATAATTCACTTCCTTGGTTCCTTCATGGGAATATTATACAGTATTATACAATTTTCACACAGATTGTCCAGAAAGTAGTAGGATAATGCAGTGTTCAGAATGCTATAATTTTCTTCCACATAAGAATCTTCTTCATCTTTATTGACTCTCTTCATGTAGCTCGAGATGCTGCAGTACAGAAGATTGAAGCGATCGTCAAAGAGCAGTTTTCAGTAGAAATGAAGAATAAAGAACATGAGATTGAAGTCATAGATCAGGTATACAAATTTCATGTTTCTTATTTATAGCAAGGGGAAGCAACAATTGGTTTCAATCGCCATACTTCATAACAAGAGTTTCATCTTTTTTTCCTAGCGCCTTGTTGAAGCAAGAAGAATGATGGATAAATTACGTGCTTGCATTGTTGCAAACTATTATGCTTCTGCTGGTCTCCTTAAAGTTGGAGAGGTAAATATTCTTGTAACAAAGTTTTTGAATATTTGGTAAGGTAGAGGGGATAAGTTCACCTGGTGAAAAAAAGAGAGAGAGAAGGAGATTGTCTTGCCCTTTCCCTAAACTTCCTTATTTATAGGTTAACTTATTCTTTACTTACTTATTTGTTTGCTTTATTTGCTAGTTATCATATTTAATATATAAAATATATATTCATTGTATTCATTAGTTATTATGGTTTATTCATTAAAACAATAGCACTCAAAAGGCAGGCAGGAGGTGGCCACACGTATGCATGCACGTTCCTTCGGCCCTCAAAAATGTGGAAAATATAAAATGTAAACCTCATGCTCAAAAGTTTGGAGACTCCTGATTTAATAGACCACACTGAGTAGCTAAATCTTCAAGCCCTTCTAAGGCTCCTGGCATTCCAGTTTCAAGATGCAGCCTCTCTGGAACCTGTGGAGAAACAGGCACTTCTTCTAGACCAGAGATGGGAAATGTATGGTCTCCATTGGGTCACTGTCACTGTCATAGGCTTTCTGCAGTTGTTCTCACGAAGGCTTTGGGTAACCCATGTACCAATGCTTTTGAGATTACAGCTTCTGAATCGGTGCTCTTGAATGTATCATTTAACTAAGGCAGGGAGTATTGACTTTATACTTATCTTTGGGAAACAAAGCCCCCTCTTATCATAGTTATTTAAATTGAGATTCATATCTCTTTCTGTCCTTCTCCCATATGTTCTTCCCCATCCTCTTTTATCTTTTCCCTCTGCTTTCATTTTTTAAAAATCTGTTACATATCTTAATTTCTTACAAATTTCTAAGCATTGTGTTGAGGGTGGAGGCTGCATGAGTGAGCTGAGACAAACTGTAAGCCAAGTAACACTTAACTTGTTGGTTACAAGCACATGGTGCTCCCTTATGGTTTTTTCTGAACAAAGAACTATGGTTTATTTTAGCTTTGTTTCTATCCTTTGCTATCCTTAATATAGAACAATGCAGTCAGCACTGAACAGGAGCTTCTGTTAACAGGAGTAGCCATGATTCAGAAACATAGTTCAGAATCTAGTATAAAAGTAAAGGTTCCCCTTGACAATTTTTGTCCAGTCGTGTTCGCCTCTAGGGGGTGGTGCTCACCCCCGTTTCCAAGCCATAGAGCCAGCGTTTTGTCCGAAGACAATATTCCATGTTCACATGGCCAATGCGACTTAGACACAGAACGCTGTTGCCTTCCCACCGAGGTGGTACCTATTTATCTACTTGCATTTGCATGCTTTCGAAACCGCTAGGTTGGCGGGAGCTGGGACAAGCGACAGACGCTCACTCGGTCACGTGGATTCGATCTTACTACTGCTGGTCTTCTGACCCTGCAGCACAGGCTTCTGCGGTTTAGCCCGCTGCGCCACCACGTCCCAGAATCTAGTATATTAGCTTTCTATTTCATGAATTAAAACTAAGCAACTCATCTAACTTCATCAGTTAAGAACTTTTGGAATATTGAGACAAAAGTCTCCTTTCCAAAGTTTCTCACACTTTTCGCAAATGTGAGAGTCCAAATAACATAAATACTTTTTGATGTGAGGACACTAAAGTAGAATTGATAGGCATGTGGTCCATCAATCAGTGAAAAGCAGCCCCCAGCTAAGACAACCAATGATAGGGGCCAATGGTCATCAACACCTGGAGGGCCACACATTCCTCATCTTCTTACTGTATATTCTCTTACATGCATTATTTTTTAGTTAACTCTGATTGTTTGGATTTGCCATTCTGCTAGACGATATGATGCTTAAGGAAGGTGAATGGCAGATAATTACGTTTAAGGAAACTCGCTGTAGCCCAGTATGAACCCTCATTAAGCGAAATGTGCTGTCTGCCTGTAGATAAACCACACTGGTGCACCCTGCATGTCCCAGAAGTCTTTGACATTAATGTTCCCACTGCATGTGTTGTCTGTTTTTGTGATGAATGTTTTTCTAGCAAAGGATAAAACCGTATATTATGTTTATTACCAGCATAGTATGTGTTAAAATTTACACTAAAGAAGCAATGTGAAAAGAAACCTAGCAGCACATAATGGATGTAATTCTGTTGTGAAATGCCACACGAATAATGACATGTTTTTTGCAGTTTGCTGGATATTAGAGATGGGCAGGAACTGCAGTTCAGTGGTTTGGACCAATTTGGCTCTGTTCCCGCACAGGTGTTGCATGAGCACAGGGCACTGGCAATGTGTGCTTCCCTCCCTGGTGTGACTGCCCACTCAGCATTCACAGTGCGCACTTCACTCCTCTGCCTCCTCTGTTGGCCACTCACTCAGACAAGAAGGCAGGGTGGGGAATCCTGCAGTGCTTCCTTTGAGTGGGCAGCTGCCAGAGGAGGCGGAGAAGTGAAGCATGTGCTGCAAATGGTGAGTGGGCAGTCACGCTGGGAAGTCAGGGAGGGAAGCCCACATTATCCATGGAATGGGCAAGCCCGCAGAGGAAGTGGAAGAGGGGAGTGCGCCATGCCAGCACCACACTTTGAGTCGAACTGGGCTGAACTGCCGTTTGTGCTCATATCTACTGAATATCAATAATCCATCTGACTGTGCAAGCATTGCACAACCAGAGGACTATGGGTTGTGAAGGACAACTTGCAAACTGTCGCTTGTTGCTTGCATAATTGCAGTTAATGTGATCGCATAACACAATAGAACTCTGGCTAATATCTTAACTTTAAAAAAAAAACAAATGTGATAACTCGTAGTCATAAAGAGAGAACAAGCCCTCTCTGCCATAGGTTAGCCATATTTTCTGCAAGGACTCCAGATTAGTCTCCAGAACAGTGTGAATGAGCTCGTTTTTACGAAGTAGCCCTGTTGGCATCTAATCTCCTTGTTTCTTCTCTTCCTTTTGATATTCTGGCAGGGGCCTCTAGCTCACTAAGGGAACACATGGTTTGCATGTGCCAGGTCATACATTCAGTTCTTGAACTCGGATTTTAAGAGGATCACATACTAAGTGATGTGAAAGACTGTGGCCTGAGGCCCTGAAGAGGCCCTGCCAGCTAGAGAAGGGTGGGCACATCTGAGCCTACTCGCTGATGGATCTGCATCTGCTGTTGATTTGCAGTAGGTCAGCAGATATTTCTCATTCTCAGCTGTTCGCGAGTAGCAACAACACAATGACTTTCTCCTCTTCCCCAACTTTTGAAATGAAGGGAGCTTGAAGAAACCAGGATTTGGTTTTGGAGTAGAAGTGCTTGCGATTTCCATACATCTGTCTTGGGCATCATGCTCTGGTCAATAGATATTGGAGTTCTAGTTCTCCAAGCCTGAAATTTACCCACCCCTGAATTAGAGAGTACTGGGCTAGTTCATCAAATAGCCTCTCCTGGTATGAAACAGCTACCTATTATTTTCTCTCCAAATCTAATTTTGAGCCAGTCTGAAATGCTGCAGCTGCTGTGTTCTTTCAGGGAAACAAGACCTGTGACCCTATGGCTTTTAACCATCCGTCCATCAAGAAATTTTTGGAATCTCCATCCAGATCATCCTCACCAGCTAATCAGGGGTCAGAAACCCTGTCAGTTAACCATTCGGAGAGTGAATCGTCTCAGCACACAGACTACTTAATGGGAAGGGACAATGGTAACCCGGAGGCAGAAGAGAGATTGTCAAATAAATTCAACCAGAGACTGAGCAAGAATTCTGGGCAGGTAAAATGAACAGAGGTGTCAAAAACAAGGTGGGAGGGAGGAAATAATGTTCTTTGTCTTTCAGAACAGTCATGGCAGCATAGTCCTGGCTTCTGCTCTGTTTTTCAAAACCCCACAGAGATTGTTTCTGTGGTTGCAGGGAGAAAGCTCTGTTGGCGCAGCCATAAAGAAAAGGGTCAATTAAGCATGCATTCCTCTTTGCTATCTATTTCCTGCTGATGCAGCAGTATGGACAGAGATCATTTCAAAATTGCTGTGCTGTGGTTTTGGTTTCATCTTTCATAACCTTACATGACTGCATGTTAGTATAACTTCTACAGATCTTAACACCTTCAGAGCAGAGGTCTAGGAAATGGGTATTTTTTCATTCTGGTGTACAGTATACTGTTTTTGAATGCAGTTAGAGTAATTGATTCTCCTCAGATGAAGGGAAACAAATTTAATCCCCCAATAATAAGTGGAAAAATTCTGTTGGAGAAGGAAGCCAGCTGTATCCCTGAACAGTGCAAAACTGCTTTTTGTTGTTGTTGTTGGATCAGCTCTAGAGATGGGCATAAACCTCAGTTCGAAGGTCCGACCCAATTTGTCACCACATTCACACAGGTGTTGTGCAGGTACAGCTCCCTCTCCCCCTCTGCCTCCTCTGCATGCTTGCCCATCCCTCAGGTGATGTGCGCTTCCTTCCCTGCCTCCCCAGTACAACTACCCACTCACGTTGTACGGCATCTCTTACCTTTTCTAGCTTCTCCATCAGCCACCCACTCAAATGAGGAGATAGAGCAGTGATTCCTGCAGCACCACCTTCGAGTGCATGGCTGGCAAGATAGGGATGCATAACTGAACTTTAACCAGATGCAAATGTTTTAATTTGCTGACTTGCGTTATAAATGATTAAATCCAAATTTGATCACCATTTAGGCAATTTTGGGTGCTGGGAGAATAGGCACATTTAGATATGACATCTACAGGAGATGACTTGTGTATTTTAGATTTTTCCCCATGTCAAAAGGTCCTTTATAAATTTCAGACGGTTGCACAGAATACGTGGGAAACGAAGAGTTCTGAACATCATTAACAGAACTTTTATTAACGTGTAACAACGCCGTGTCAATCACAACTTCAGTGGGTTCAGGAAACTCCCACTGTTTGAACTTCTTTTCTAACTGTCCATAACAATTAACCACATATTCGTTCTTCAGTATGGGGGAGCTGGTCCAAAGCGCTCCCTGTCTGTAGGCTTCCTCAGAGGAGCGCTCCATACTGCGCAGATGGTCCCACAGCACAGGTGGCGGGCCCAATCCCCTTCCAGTGGTGGCTGGTTGAAAGAGGGATCCGGGCGTACCACCTTCCTCCAGCGTCCCTGCCCTCTGGGGAACACCGCCACGGTCCATTCCAAAGTCTCTTGGATAACTACTCCTTCTGGTGGAGGTACAGGATTGGGTAGAAGTCCTCCAACCTTAAGGATGGGAAAATCATCAGTAAGGTCTCTCACTTCCTTCACTTTCTCTTTTTCCCTTTCAACTTTCTCCGCGCCTGTTTTCACCTGAAAATCCCGCACTTCTCCCCCTCTATTTATATTCTCCTCCCATACCTCCACCCATTGCTCCTCCTCATTTCTCCCTTCTTCTGACAGACACACTTCAGTCTTAACCCTTTCTAAACCTTTACACCCCACTACGTATTGGGATCTGAAGTACTTTTGAGATAACCTCTCTAGGTCTAGATGCAGGTTTTAGGCAAGGCTGAAGTCAGAAGGGAATGGGGTAGAAGTTAAACCGGGATAGGGCTATCATTTGCTTATGGGTGCTGGATTTAAGGAAGTGACAGCTTTGAGCCTTAGATGATGAGAGGTCTTTACATACAAATTTTTTTTTTTAGAAAACTAGATTTCAAGTTTTCATAATGCTGTGGAGCCACTTTAGCTTGCTGTTGGTTAGACACCCGGTATGTCTTAGGATAGTGTGTCCTTTGTTGTAAAAATTTGCAAAGTGAAAAATATTTTTGCTTATTTGTAGCTATCCAGTTTAGATCAGCAGCCACCAGATGCTTTTTTTGGTCATCCAGTGAAGACCAGAGTCTTCCTGCCAAAAGGGTTCAACTTCCACATCCTTCTGGGTATAAGCATTTAGGAGGCAGATGTAGCAACGTTAGCAGCTGGCACCAAAATCAGCAAAGAATCATGGGCTCCTTGGAGGCTAACTATCTTTGTTTGATAGAAGCTCTCAGATTTTGCATCTGTCTTGATCAGCTGCAGTCCATGAATGCTTATTTTGAATAAAAGTGTTTTAGCTTCTGTTTTGAATAGAAACAGGTTTTCTTCTGCCTGTCTGGCCTAGCTTGGAAATATGGTCCTTGTGCTGTCATTCCACAAATTCTTTCCTAAAGTATGTACTTTTTAAACTTAAAAGTGCATTATGTGTGATGAGGAGAGGTTTCTAGAATGGAGACATGTTTAGACCAACTCTTGAAATATTACATTAAGGACTGTAATTCCTGGAAGACCTCAGCTAGCGTTATTTTTCCAAGCTTTTGTGTATAATAATCATGTGCTTAAGTGGCTTTCTTAATGTTTCATCTTCAGAGCACTTCTGGTGTTGCAAAAGATCGCAAAGTGGGGCTCAGGATTACTGGTCTCTCCAATGAGGAACATTCACGTCTGTTTGTAAAGAAAACCATCGTGGTTGGCAATGTCTCCAAGTTAGTATTGATAGTCTTATGATTGTACATTTATTTGATTTACAAAGTTAAAATATGGATTGTGCTTAGCAAAATGATGGGGAAAAAATCTGGACAAAAAGTGTTGGTATTCTGATTTACACTTTTTTCTACTGTAATTATACCTCTGTCAATATTAATGAGTGGTAGTGTACAAAACCAAGCATTCTAGTAGGTGGCTTTCTCACTTCTGGATAAGATCTGATCCCTGCTGGTCTTTCCTGAAAGAAAAGAGAACAGTAAGCCAGCCCATTTAGTCATGTTGGTATGAGGGTGCCTTCAATCCCTCTTGTTTCCTTTGACCCACCTGAAACAAAAAGGAAAAGCTGGAGTGGGGAGGGAACACTGGATTGGGTGATGCTGTTTGGAAGTCTATCACACCTCCACTAGACCCTTCTGGCAGGAAAGGCCCTCAGAAACACAGCCATATGGGCGATGGTGGTCAGCTTCAGTCAGCATGATGTGGTATCCCCTGTGGCCTGTCTCATCCAATATCCCTTTGCTGGTATATTGGATGAGTTGTGGTTGAAAAAGGTAACTTCCCCCATCTCTAGCACAGACAGAGAAAAAGGTCTGCAACACCTAGAACTTTAGTATATCAAGAGAGTTAGGATGAAATTCATGGTTGTGGTGTTTTGTTTTTGTTTTTCCCCCTTCTGACAGATATATTCCTCCTGATAAGAGAGAAGAGAATGACCAGTCCACTCACAAATGGATGGTGTACGTACGAGGATCCCGACGGGAGCCCAGCATCGACCATTTTGTGAAGAAAGTCTGGTTCTTTCTTCATCCCAGCTACAAGCCTAATGATCTTGTTGAAGTCAGGTAATAAAGCTTTTGCTGAATCTTCCAGCCAGCTAAAAATGCTGATGTGCTTTCAGAAGTGCTTAGTCACTCCTTTCTTCCTCTCTTACCTTTCTCCCAGATACTTTCCCCCTCAGAGAATCTGTTGGTGGTTATCTTCCTTGGTATATTTATTTTGTATAATAAGACATGGCAGAATGGATTGAAAATTGTTCCCAGAGCAGGAAAACCAAGGGAGAACAGGGATGCAGGAAAAAGAATCAAGCAACATCTTCCCTCATAACCTTTCTGTACAAAGCTGTGTCTTTCTGTGGCTGCTTTTCTTTATGTATCATATATGGGTGTGTGTTTGACTATATATTTTAGCCTTTTGGGAACAGCTTGATCTCTTTGTGAGCTTGCTAAAGACTTTCTAGAGTCGTGTAGCCAGAGTGCAATGTTTGAGTAGTATGTTCAATAATAGAGGGTCCTTCAGAGTTTCTGACAGGGTTTTAATTTTTGCTAGTGCTCAAGTATTTTGAGAGTACTTTAGATGTTATGGTGACTCTTCCCTGCAGTTCTTTCTAGCATAGGTTTTCCCTCACATCCAGCCCCAAGCTCAAAAAGTGTTCTACATGATAATTGAATGCTATTTCTTTCATACCATGTTCAATGTAGTTGGAGACTTTGTTTCTATAAGTAACAAAGGCCTCTACAATGTCCTCCTTATTCCTAGAGAGCCTCCTTTCCACCTGACCAGACGGGGCTGGGGAGAGTTTCCTGTGCGGGTTCAGATTCACTTTAAGGATAGCAGGAACAAAAGGATTGATATCATACACAATCTGAAGGTAATGTTACTCCATTAGTGATGCACAGACGACAATGTTAACTTCTATGTGTATTTTCTTCCATAAGAATTACACTATAATTACTGCTGCCTCGGTTAGACTGATCTCTGTTCAAGATATGTATATCTTGTGATGTAAAATGGACACACATTCATGCATATGCGTGAGTGCTTAGAACTTAACCTGACCAAGAGTTGCTTCGGTTTCGTTCAGTGTTGGAAACACACAGTGCAAAGGGACTGCATCGCCTGTTCTTGCCACAGGTTCTGAGTCCACAAGGAAGTGTAGTGGAGATTTGGATTGGGTTTGGCTACAAAGGAATAATGTAAGAAATGTTGCTTTGAGGTCTAAGAAGAGGAAAAAGACTAAATAAGAAAGGCAAAATCTTAATTAAGCCCAATGAAGGCAGCAAATTGGTGCTGTTTCAGATCTGGGGACAGGCAGCAATAGAAGAGCATTGATATATAGGCACATGTACATTTCATCATACCCTATGGTTTATTTTAACTATGGTTTGTTACATAAGCTTCTGAATTACATGGCAGAAAGCCCAGCCCCGGCTTATATTCTGAATATGTAATTTGATTTGTTCCCAGTTCCATGCCTTTTGCTAGTTCCTGTTTCAGGGGAACAGTTAGGGAAACATCCCAAGGGCAAACAACAGTTGCAGATTTTCTTGTCACAGCAAACTGTGGTTTAAACAAGCTAGAGTTTTTTAGCCAGCAACAAATCAAGAGTTCAAATTCTGGTTTGTGGCTACTTAACAGCCATGGCTTCCTAGCAAGGAGATGCTCATGTAGTACAACAAGCCAAATTTCAGCAAACTGCTCTGGAATTTCAGCAAACTGCTCTGTGATGTATGAACACAATGGTACCTGAAATTTCTCAGGCCCAACAAGTTGCTTCTCACTTGACCAACTGATGCCACAGCGTCAGTTGGTCTGGTGAGGAGCAACAGGGCAACAAACATAGTAACAATATTTTAAAAATCAAAAATGTTCTGTATAGTATAAGTGAACTATCTTACTTTTATCTTAGTGAGCTTTTTGGGAGAGGAAATGTTCTGGGTTTTTTTTTTTAAAGCTTCATGTTTGCGCCTTCTGGAATTTGAATATTTGTTGCCATCCACAAAGCTGAATGGCCCTGTATTTCTTGCAACTTACAACTTCCCATTATTTTGAAGGTCATTTTGTATTTTAAGCTTCTCTCCTTTAGAACATGGAGTTTTTCATGGTGTTGTATCACCTGCAAATCTAACAGTCTAACGACTCTTTCTGTAGTGTTAGGCTTGGTGGGAAAAAGCAGACTCAACCTAACTCTGCATTTGATCTTATCAATAAATGCAAAATGGATGAAGTCATGGTTTGATGAACGAATGCCTACATTTTAGTGTTATAGTGAATGGAAAGATAGAATTTGTATGTCACTTATTCTTATCTTTGTATCGTAAGTTGTCAAATACACAGCTACAAACGTTGAGGTTAGAAGGTTATGATACAGTGTTTTTGTTAAGCGGTACCTGTATATTTGCTAATATTAATATTAAAACAATCATAATTTTTTGTATCTAATTGTTCATGCAGTTGGATAGAACATACACCGGTCTGCAGACACTTGGTGCTGAAACGGTATGATGTTTTTAAAACTTTTCTTAGTAAATTGCAGATTTTTTAAAAAAAATAAAGGATAAAACAAAAGAAATGTTAATGGTCAGTTAATTAGTCTCAGGTGGTTTGTATGCTGTGTAAGTTGATTATTACCATTGACTGATGGTGACTGAGTAGACCAATAGTGAGTGTGACTGGTGCCCAGCTTTAGCTCGGTAGAGCATCTGTTTTAACCATTTGAGTACCATTTCCCTCTCCCCACACAACAGGTGCATCTTTTGAGGAATGTTGTGTGGTTGGAAACAGGGATCCTTCACATCAAAGCTTTTTATGTTCTAGACTAGTGACCTTGGGTCCCTGGATGTTCTTGGACTAAAACTCCCAGAAGCCTTAACCACTAGCTATGCTGAGTGTTGTAGTCCAAGAATTCATGTGGTTCTAAACCCTTGGGGACCCAAGGTTTAGAACCACTGCTCTAGACAGATCTCTTTTTTTCATGGGAGTACATACGAACAGTTCCCTTACAGTAGTGTACCTTTTATTTTTGAAAGGTTGTGGATGTTGAGCTGCATCGGCATTCGCTTAAAGAAGAATATATCTTCTCTCAGTCATCAGATTCTGATCTTTCTGATGCCCCTAGTTCATTGCATTTGCCATTAAATATGCCAGCACCTGTGAAAGCATCTTCACCAAAGCAAACACGTGAATCCATTACAGATGCAACTGTTGAAAAAGGTAAAAAAGGCAAGTGCATCAATGGAGTGCATGTGAGTGTATGTGTACTTTTGCAAACATTTTAACCCAGTTAAAATGCAGAATGCATCTGAATCAGTGTCGCTCCTGTAGCTTCTGGGAATGAGGAGCAAATCCTAGATGTTCCGTTTTAGAGGCTATATAAGGAGAGAGGCATTTTATTCCATATGTAGTATATCTCCTGCCAATGTCAGTATTAAAACGCCTGCTGTTTTGCAGCAGATGGTGAGCTGAATCTTTGGGGATGCTTCAAAAACAGAGTGGAACTATGAAAGAAAAATATTCCTGACTTTTCTCTTTAAACTTTTGATTCTTCTGAGAGAAACTTGGTAACACTTCCTTCCTTCCTCTTGGTTTATCTGTCAGGGTTCGGCAGTGAAGCTGAAAGACATACAACCTTTTATTCCCTGCCATCATCTGTAGAACGGACTCCCACTAAGCTCACGACCCAAAAAGTTGCTTTTGGCTCTCATGGCAACTCAGCTTTTCAGCCTATTGCAGCCAGCTGCAAAATTGTGCCCCAAGGCCGAATACCAAGTCCTGCTGAATCTCCAGGCAAGTCTTTCCAGCCCATCACCATGAGCTGCAAGATTGTATCAGGTATGGCTTGCCTGGCTGGTCTGTGTATGTTCTACAGCAAGATAAGAATAAGCTGGTCGATCTTGTGACTAGTGAATTATCTCGTTTCACCTTGAATGATGTCAGGAACGCTCCCAAATGGCAACTGTCTTTTGAGCCAATGGAGCACACAGGTTACATCAGAAGTAGAGGTGGGATATTTGTACTCATCTCCTGGGAGAGACTAATATGACTATCGTCACCACAAGTGGCTGGACCCTTTCAACCCTCCCTCCACAACTGGCCAGCTCACTTAACACTCATGCTGTGGTGCATGCGGCCATTGTCGTTTGCATTGCAACAATCACGGTCGTCCAGGCGCTACTTCCCCTCCTCCCTGTGCTGCTGACCAGTCAGCAACTGAGCAAGGAGAACCATCATCCTGCCTCCTCGCTGGAGCGGTCAGCAATGCAGGGAGGCAGGGGTGTGCCAGCTGGGCTACTTCCATGATTGTTGCAATGCAGACAACGATGGCCACATGCACCACGCCCCAAACAGCAAGTGGACCAGCCAGTTCTGGGGGAGGGGGTCTGGCCCGGCCACTTACGGTGGTGATATTTGTACAGTATTGATTTCCCCGGGGTAATTGAAAGTCTAATGGAGATGAAACTGTTTGGCATAGAAGTCTGTAGCTGTATATAGGTACAACATCCTTGGTGGTTTGTTATGGCAAAAATATATTTTTGAGTGTCCCAACTTCCTTCCTTTAGAGGACCTTGTGTGATGAGAAAAGACAGCAGCTGCCTGGCTTTCATGGAGCTGTTTCTGCACATGCAGTAGAATAGCTTCAGTGTGATTTTGCAAATTGCTTGCTTGCTTGCCAGTGCACTATCCACTACACCGTGTGTGTGTGTGTGTCTGGGTGTGTGTTGGGTGGTGGTGGTGGTAATGTTAATAGTACATTCTAGCACTACTCTGTTGAGAATTCCTTTCTGTCTCTGTAGGGTCTCCCATATCGACCCCAAGTCCTTCACCGTTGCCTCGCACTCCGACTTCCACTCCAGTGCACATGAAGCAAGGAACTGCTGCCCCTACAGTCAGTAATCCATATGTTATTGTTGACAAGTCTGCCCAAGCAGCTGGTATTGGAGCCACAACTACAGGTGTGTGTGATACAGCTAGAGATACGCTCTTTCTCTGTCTACTCTCCTTGCCTTTTCTGTTGTGTGTCTTGATTTCTCTAGGGTTTAGAATACCAAACTAATCTCTTCCTGAACCAGTTTAGCAATAGGAATTTGGGTGGTTCCTTCTTGTCTTAGCTGTCATTGCTAGAGGCCAGAAAGACAAGTGGTTCTCTTGCTTGCTTACATATGCATATCTGTATATATATATTGTTTTCCTAAGATCACTTTCCTGTCAGCCAACACCATGCCATGCTTTGTGACAGGACTAAGAAATCTTTGCCCCTTTAGACACTTGTTTCTCTAGTTATTAGTAACATTTGTATCCCACCTTTTCAGCAAACAATTTATTCTCACAACAACTGTGGGAGGTAGGTCAGGAGAAAAGACAATGAGTATTCCAAGATTAGCAAGTGAGTTTCTCGCCTAAGAGACCAGAGCCTTGACTTCCCAACCCCCCATCCAACTCTCACACTCCTGTCAGTGTCAAACAGCAAGGCTGTTGGTCCAGAATGATAAATGTTGTAGATCAGCAATATGTTGAGAGGTCACAGTGCAGGATAGCCCTGTTCACATCTGTTCCCTTGGTTCTGTTTGTTCCTAAGTCAGTGACAAGTGTTTTTTTTTCACTTGCATGTTCACCCTTTTCTATAGCATCAATAAATTTATTGCATGGCTGTTAATCACATCTGCAGTGGTTAAGCACCCAAAAAAGAACTTTCAGGACAGTTCCAGCTCTAGACCTTGTTCATTCACAGCAGCTCCCTATAGAAGTGATTGTTTGTGTTGTAAACATGTTTCCTTCCCTATACAGTTATTTGGGAGTGCTTTCCTCCTTAGAATTAGATAAAAGGGGAGTGGGAAGTATATAACACATGTGGCAAATATGTGGCCCTCTAGATGTGGACAGAATGCAGCTTCCATTATTCCTCCCCATTGATCATGTCAACAGAGGTAGGTGGAAACTGCTGTCCAACAACATGTGGAGGTCAGAATATTTCTGGCCTCTTGTGGATAGGAAGCGGTGGTAACCCCATCTCATCTTAGAGATCTTTGGCCCTTGTAAGAGTCAGCACAGAGCTACATCCATCCCCTGTACGCGAAATGCATGAATGCATATATGCTTTCTAGATAGTGAGAGACTGCAACATGCCCTGGAATGAATACTGTTTATTTTTATTATATTCAAGCTAGTCCTTTTTGGTCCAGCAGCAAGGCTACTACTTTTTTGGGCCCAGCTGGAGTGATTCCGTGATGGACAGCATGGCTGCTTTAAGGAAAGTGACCTTTCCGGTGTGATCCGATATGCACTTTCTCACTGTGCGATTTCTCCCTCTGACTCTGAACGTTCTCCATTTTATCATTACTGTTAGAAGCCGCTTATTCCTCTTTTCCACCTGCTATCTAGCAAGAAATCAGCACTTCCATTCTGGCATATGTATTTTGTCTGTAGCTACAGCCAATAATAAAACCAAACTAAAGGGCCCAGTAATGTGTTATGCTGATGTCCACCATATCTCCCATCATGTAGGTAGCCCTGCAAGCAAGGTGACCAGTATTTCCCAAGCCTCTCATGGAACCGGGTGTCCTGTCTCAAAAATCCATGGAAGCAGTTTTGTAACCTCTGCTGTCAAGGTGATGTTTCATCTAACTGCCTTTTCTTCCTCTTTTAAAAGCTTCCTGCAAAGCAGCATATAATGCATTGTATCTTTTGTTTCCTAAGTAAGTATTCCAGGGTGTGTGTTCTTGCAGTCATGTTGGTGCAATGTCTGTTGCTGAAGTCCCCTTGTAGATATTATGTTACATATTCTTTCTCTTCCCCTTCATCCTGTCATGTTGGGTCTTCTTTCCAATGATTCTGTGATGTTCTGGTGTGCTGTGTCTCTAGGATTAACCCAACATAACCACATATATATGTATGTATTTGAATCTCATGTTCTGTTTCAGGTGCTGGGTCCAGGCAAAAGTCCTGCATGATTGTTTTCATTTTGGGGTCATGATGGGGCAGAACTGGGGGCAAACTTTAAGGCCTTCAAAGAGGATAACTGCTGGATAGCTCAGTGGTTTAGATCACTGGTTGTGGAGCCAGAGGTTGGGAGTTTGATTCTCCACTGTACCTCCTTGATAGGGGCTGGACTTGATGATCCATAGGGTACTTTCCACCTCTGAAGTTTTAAGGTTATTAAAGGCAACTTAAAAGCATATTAGTGTATAAAAAGTATAATATCTACCTGTTTAAAAAGCTTCTTCCTCTGCAAGCCATCAGTAGTCCAAGTGGAAAAAAATGTGTTTTGCCTGCTGGCAGGAGACACCTCTGCAGTTTTAAGGTTATTAAAGGCAACTTATAAGCATATTAGCGTATAAAAAGTACTGTATAATATCCACCTGTTTAAAAAGCTTCTTCCTCTGCAAGCCGTCAGTAGTCCAAGTGAAAAAAAAATGTGTTTTGCCTGCTGGCAGGAGAGCAGAAGGGAGACAAGTGGTTGTGTCCAAAGAAATTCTTACAGAAAGGTTGCTGTTTCCATTGTAGCCAGTGGGGGCATCTGTATATTTTCACAGTAAATTATTCTCTCTGAGTAATGGTATGTCATGGTGTACCTTGTTCCAGAGACTGCTCCATCCAGGATTACACTGGAACAGCTAGGATGGTGACGGCAGTATTGTTTTTGTTTTTAAGAAATGATGATAACAGAAACACATGATTTAAGGTCTTCCTTCTGGGGGAGGGAGAAACAATGTTCTATGAAAATGGGCATGGAGAATATTCAGCAAATTTCTAGTTACTCTGTGGTTTCCAGTGGAGTTTGGCAAAACTAAAATGCTTGTTTGCAACACAGTTCTGTACTTGGTTTTTGAGTGAGTCCTGCTGGGCTTAATACAGCTGACTCCCAAATAACTGTATAGAATTATGGCTATAGTCCAGCTTCAAATTTCTGAAAATCTGCTTATCAGAAAGCTGAGGTTTTGTGTGGTTTTTTTTTTAAAAAAAATACATCTCTGGTTAAATAGGACATTTTCTCCTGCAGAGACATTTACATAGCAAGAAAAGTATTTGGGACAAGTGGAGAGGCTGAAAACCTTATAACCGTTGCTGTTCAAATGGCATTTATGTAAGGTACACCCGTTGTAAGGTGAAAGGAATTCCTTGGCAACGGTGGTGATTGAGAGCCTCACCAGTCGTTGGGGTTAATTAATGCTGACTTTCTGAAGTGTTATAGAGGAATAATGGTGCCAATTTTGAGACAGGAAAGAAATGATATGGATACAGAACTGGATTGATATGGATACAAAACTGGATTGCAAATGTTAATAGTATAAATGGTTAGATTTTAGCGGAACTTTGTGTCTATGACACCTGCTTTTATAACCTCTTAGAAAAGTGAAAAATGGTATGCTTCTAATTAGTTTGATCGCCTTAAAAAACATAATGCCCTTGTGTAAGGGAGGGCCTGTATTTTGCAGTTAACCAAGGCTGAAAACTAGTTAAATAAACATAAGTATTTTTTATTCTCTGCCTTTCTAGACAGTTATTATTATTAAACACCTAGAGTTAAAGAAGGCAGAACACAATGTTCAACTTAATAAATAAATCTATTGTTGTTGAAAGTTAAGGTTTAATATTTCAATTACACAAAAAGTAGCCTTAAAAATAACTCTTAAACTCACTCATCATAGTTGCCTCCCATCAATTAATCAAATGAAAACAATAAACTAATTGAAGTGTCACATTTTGTCAAACTTTAAAATAAAATGATTACATGTATTATTGCTGAACAAGATGTTGCAGTAGTTAACGCCAGTGAATGTTTCTGTATTTCTCTACTACTCCTCTGGACATTGCATGAAACGTCAGTATTTCCATCACATCCCAGCATGGATTATACTTCTTACCTGAGAAATGTGTGAGTTTTTTGTAACTAGAATCTTAATGCTTAGAAGAAAAAATGCTTAGCCAACTTAAACATGTGGGTCTGTCTCTTCATTGCAGCAGGAGGACTCGCTCTTTGCAACCATGCCCCCCTTGTGTCCAATTGGGAGTCACTCCAAGGTACAAAGCCCTAAATCTGTGACAGGAGGACCTGGAACATTTACAAAGGTACCAGGAGTCCATTATTCTCTTTGCAGTGTACAGCAACAGTGGTGGCCTCATTTCATAGTGGAACCTGCCAAAGGACATTCTAAATGTATGGGATTTTTTGTTGTCTGCTCCTTGGAGTTTTGCTGCTGTGAATACATGCACCGTTCCAGTTTTTTAAAACTGGAGTCGTTAAACACAGAGCACAGACAGAGTTCTGGCTCCTGCCCTCTGAAGATGCCGGCCACAGAGACTGGCGAAAGGAAGAAAAATCTTAAGAACACGGCCAAACAGCCCAGAAAAAACCCACAACAACCATCCGATCCCGGTCGTGAAAGCCTTTGAGAATACATTTTTTAAAAAAAGTTTTTTTGTTTCTCCCTCCTTTCCATTGCATTCTCACTTCATTTTTCTACATCCTCCCCTCAAGTATAATGGCTGCAGAATTTGTAAAGGCAATTGAAGTGTTTCAGGACTGGGGAAAGGGAGCCACGTTTGCATCTTCTCACCACTGTCTTCTTGAAATTTTGCAATTGTTTCTTAAAGCTGAGCATGGCCATTGTATCATTGCAATAAAAATGTATGAAGAGTAGTGCTGGGTCAGACCAGCTGCCTATTGGAAGTCCAGAAGCAGGACATGAAAGCAGGAGTACCCTCCAAACATAATCAATTTAAGCCTCACTTGTCTTGGTTTAGGTATGGACGAAGTTCAGCGTGCTGCTAGACGGCAGCTGCCAGGATGGCTCATTGCTACCTATGCTGGCTAGAGCAAATGGCAATAATAACTCAGCAACATCTGGAGACTGTACTTTGCCTGTTACTCCTTGTGGGCCATTCCAATGACTGTGGGCCATTCCAGATGGGATTTTTGCATTATTTTTTATTCTGGGTTCTACACTGATTATATCAGGGTTTTGTACCAGAATGTTGAAATTATATGTATAATCCACCCCCTTCAACAACAACTTCATAGACCATTTCCTCTTGCTGAATGAACCCCTTGCTTTATATTAGATTCACTTTCTACTGGGGATGACATTCAGTGCTGTGGCACCTGGCAAGACTTTCAGCATTGACCTTTTCAGAATTTCAACAATTTCAGCCCCAGCATAGAGTCTTAGCACAAGAAACTCCACTGGTGGGTGCTTGGTGGATGCTGGGAAACTCAAGTAGAGAGCAAGCACAGCTCTGGATCAGAGACCACTTGTGGTCAGAATGCAAATCCCATGAATTCCCAGTCAATCCCGTGAACTTTTGTTAGCAAGTAACAGAAAAGGAAGCAAAAATAGAAGTACACATGTCCTGTTTGGAAAAGCTCTAAATGGAGTGCTAGAGTGTTTTAGACCAGGGATACACCACCTTTCTGGCCTAGGGCCTGCATATAATGGGTTGCATGAACACGGATAAATGAATATGTGCCCACATATATATAGATAGATAGATAGATAGATAGATAGATAGATAGATAGATAGATTGATTCCCACATACAGGGGTTGCCATACAGATGCCAGAGAACCTCCAATAAATCATTTTTTCCCTCATGGCCAGCAGCAACAGGGAAGGAACAAAGCTTAGGACTACTGCATGTATTCTTAGCTTCTCTCTGTCTATCAGTCTATCTGTTTGTTTATTTATTTGAAGGTCATAATTAAGCAAGAACCTGGAGAAGTTCCCCAGCAGGCACCAGCACCGGCAACTGGAACAGCCTCTCAAACGCCAGTACAACAATATGTCACCGTGAAAGGGGGCCATGTGATTTCTTTGTCACCCCAGAAGCAGATTGTGAGCACAGGAGAGGGTTCCACGTCGTCTAAGGTAGAAGATAGACCTCCTCAACATGTTCATATACGACCTACTTGGCAATCCCTTTGGGCTGGTAAAGTCACAGATATTGCAATATAAGCAAATAGAAACAGCCCAGAGAGAACTGAGATGCTAAATTAATTTTTTTTAAAAATCAAGGTACAAATGCTATTCACGTATGTGCTTGCGTAAGGATGATTGCAGGGGACTCCCCCACCAGCAGGCTCTCCTTCACACACTTGGTTGACCCCCTGGTTGTGAAAGGAGGAGTGGTAATTCTACCTAATTCCCCTTTCTCAATTGGGTTTTGGCTTAAGATGTTGTTATGAAGAGCTAATGTTTAAACTAACTAGTAACACCAGCAATAAGAATTAAGGAGTGAATGTGTGCTGGAAATGTCATAGCCTGACTCCTGACTACTTGAAATGAGGCTGCCTGACAGATATCTTTTGAGGCGAGGGGCATGCCACAGGAACTAAGATTATGCGTTCCCCCAAAATATAAATCAGATATTTGCCCAGAGCGTATACATTCAGTATTCTAGTAACACCAAACAATAGAACTGGTGCGGAACTGTCTGGTGCTGGGCTTTATCTGCCAGAATATCTTATCCCACACCTTTTCCAACACAGCTACTAGTTCAGACGCAGTTTGTATAGCTCGCTAGGTGAAAACTTTCCTACTCACCTGTGGCACTGTCATTGCAAGCAACATGTTTTATTTTATCATAGATTGTTAGTGTTCCAGTCGGGTCTGCTTTACCCACATCCGTCAAGCAAGCCGTGGCTATTGGTGGTGGACAGATACTAGTGGCAAAATCCAGCCCTTCAGTAGCAAAGGTGGTTGGTGGAAAACAGGTTGTAACCCAAGGAGTAGCAAAGGCCATTGTTAGCAGTGGTGGAGGGACCATCGTTGCCCAGCCTGTGCAGACGTTGACAAAAGCACAGGTTCCATCAACAGGAGTTCCAAAGAGTGGACCCCAAGGCTCAGGTAAAAGTGATTTTTATTTTATTTTTACTTTTGTTTTTGTGTTTTGCACCTTCCAAAGTCATTAAATGAGACTAATGAATTAGTAACAACAAACTTAATTCTGAAGTACAGTCGTCATCATCAAAATCTAGCTGTCCCTGTCATTGAGGTGGAATAGTTGTCAAAAAAAATTGCTGTTCCTGTTGCAGTAAATATGTAGGCAGAGTGCTCTTGTAATTAATGTCTAGGACAGACTGCATCCACTACACGATCTTCATCTGATTGCTCCCATGTAATACTACCTTCTGTATGTATTGTTGTTGAAACTATAACAGGATACACCCAACTGGGCTACATCCAATACTATATAAAACTCATGCAGCAAGACTTCCATTTACTGGCTATAAACGATGTGAGTGCCACATCCACTCCAATGAAAGCACACCATGAGTGGCTGCAGAGGGAAGGAAGAGTTCACGACGTGAGTGCCACATCCACTCCAAATGAAAGCACACCAGCAAGCATGAGTGGCTGCAGAGGGAAGGAAGAGTTCATTCTTCCAGTGCTGCTCATTCCATAGGTGGACAAGATACCACCAAATACAATCCTACATGTTCAACAATGTCTTTTTGCACAATCGTTTTCTATGTCACCCTGAAACCATCACACTTGCTTGATTTTGGAAGCCAAGCAAGGTTGAGTTGGTTATTACTTGCAGGACAGACCTCCAGGAAACACTGAAGTTCTTCAGATACAGCTATGAAAGACTCTTTCCTGAAAATCTGAAGAGCTGCTGCCAGTTAGAGTTGACAATACTGGTTAGATGGCTCAGTCATCTGACTTGGTGTAAGATATATCTTCCTATGTGTATAGTAAGGTGTGCATTCTTTGATCTCTCTTCCACCCTTTGCAGTTATCTGTTTTGTAAACTTTAATTCATTCTCTTTGTGGCTCCCTCTTCAATTAATATTGCTTATTTCCACAGCCATGGACCCCCTCTGTTTCAGTTCTTTGTGTGGAGAACTTCCCTGTTTCTTTCCCTTTCCGCAAGCTTTCCTTTCCCCACATCCTACCTTAGCACCTCTTGTTCCCCAGGCATCTTGCTCTAACACAAGCTTAAGTTGTTTGCATACAGCCTTAGAAATGTGATATCTTGCCATTGTCTTCCTGACTGAAACATTTTGATAATAGGGGCTAGCCACTTTTTCTGTGTGTGAGGTGATATACAAATTATTAATGCACATGTAAAAATTAAATTATTTTAGGCATAATAAAAGTTATCTGCATGTGATTTTCAGAAGAGTACTTTGGAGAAGTAAACAAATAAAAATGACTGTAATAGCCAGTTTTTACTGCTCAAGTTACCGATTTCCTGTTGAAATAGGATTTTATGAAAGACAGTCTCCAGAAACCTCTGCAACCTCTCTTGTTTCTTCTTTTTGTTCCAGTAATGGCAACATTACAGTTACCAGCCACTAACTTGGCCAACTTGGCGAATCTGCCTCCTGGCACTAAACTGTACCTTACCACAAACAGCAAGAACCCCTCTGGAAAAGGAAAACTGCTGCTCATACCTCAAGGAGCCATTCTGCGAGCTACGAATAATGCCAGTGAGTATTACCCAGAGGAGGACAAATAGGCTTAGTGACTTTCTATCAGGTAATACCTTGTTCCCCCGAAAATAAGATCTAACCTGAAAATAAGCCCTAGTATGATTTTTTCGTAATATAAGCCCTAGCTCAAAAATGAGCCCCAGTTAAGTGAAAGCCCCCCCTCCCCCCTTGTGCAGCAACCAGAAAAATGACATGACTGTATTTGAACAAATGTAGATTGTTGTACATGAAAAAAATAAAATATCCCTTGGAAAATAAGCCCTAATGCATTTTTGGGAGCAAAAATTTATATAACACCCTGTCTTACTTTCAGGGGAACATGGTAATGGAAGACATCTGTGCAACCAGACTGCATAAGACAGTGTTTTTCTATAATGCCTTTTTATGGCACTGAATAATAAGGCCCGACTCCCCTGCGTGAATGACTTGTCTCCTGTTTGTTTCAGATCAACAGTCGGGCTCTTCAACGAGTGGAGGTGGAGGAACCCAAAGCACAAGCACTGGCTTATCTCAGCATCTCACTTACACCTCCTACATCCTCAAACAAACACCTCAGGTTAGTCCACAGTGCCGTCTATGGATGTCTACTCACACTGGACCCTTAGGGAAATTCAAGAGGTCCCGGGCCAGAAGGCCAGGCATCCTGTCAAGCTGGAAGAAGAGGGATACAGTCACCTTCTTCCAGATACTGTACTTCTGGGCTATAGTACAGATTAGACTAATTAAGCAGCAGTTACAATTTCCCATGTATTATCAAATCCTCCAGCACCAGTATGTTTTAAGTAGAACTATAGATCAACTAGACATTAAGGGTTACAGCTCAAGCTGGAGTAGGCTGAGGTGCAGCTCTGGGACTTCAGGGCCTCTTTTCACTGCGTAGCATCACAAAACACTAATTTTAGGAAATACTGGAGGGGAATTTCTACCCAGTTCTAGTTCATTATTTGGATTTTAAGCAGTCTGTACAGCTCTTGGTAAATCCATCGGAAGAAGATCAGCTGCTGAACTCACCAAACTTTTGTTGAATGGAAAGAAACACGGGTGCAAATGGAATTAATGCAGTTAAATAAGTTAAATAAATAAATAATGCATGTGCTGTCTCTAGAAAGGATAGTGTCCATGTTAAGAATTTTCCTATTTCTATAATGACATTTGACAGTAAGGTAAAGTTATTCCCGCATTCACTAGAGTAGGAATGGCTTGGCTCAGTTGACTGAAACATTTGTTCAGAGAAGTAGCTATGTTAGCCTGAGCAATCACATCAAGACAAAAACAGAAACATTGTGACATCTTAAATACTAATAATTATACTTCAACGTGAAGTTTCATGTGGGTGCATCCAGAAAAGGTCTCACTTAATTATAACATTTCTTCTATGTGCCACAATGTTTTTGTTTTTTTTTATTTGTTTTTTATTTGTGCTTTTGTCTTGATTTAAACAAATATTGATGAGGAGAGTGGCTTTGAAGAAAATTCAGAGTCCAGAAAAAAAAATCTGAAATCTTAAATGAAGGTGGTGTGGTTTATCCCTATATGAACACAAATGTTTGCTTTTTAAAAAATTAAACCTGAGAAAACTTTACAACCTTTTACTGGTGCACATGTATGAAGTTGAGATGGACAGACTCCTGCATTCAGGAGCTACACTGGACTCTTGCCTTCCTCCCCCCCCCCCCCAATGCAACGAGAGACGCCACATTCCTGGCATATGTGCTCTCTCTGCTACCATTTAGTGATTGCAATTAAATTTACTGTTACTATCACCACCGTTCCTGCCAAAATTTAGCAGCAACTGTGATGACTCTGTATGGGGCAGGAAACTCTACCAGTGTCATGCCCTGTAAAGTCTGGTGAGACCACAGAGTGGCAACAGCTCTGAAAGGACAAAACGCTTTGAGGTCATGCAGAGAACAGTGGTGGCTGCTGCCAATTCTGGAGCATCAGGGATGCCTGTGAGTTGCCAAAGAGCTCCACAAGGCTGCATGTTTCATGTGCTGGTAAGGAAGTTTGGCCTTTCCCTATAACTGTTTCCTTCTTTGAACCAGGGCACGTTTTTAGTTGGGCAGCCATCTCACCAGAGTTCTGCAAGACAAGCGACATCAGGAGCAGTGGTCCAAGGCAATGCAGCTGCTGGAGCATCGTCTTCACAAGGACACCAGGCTCTTAAAGTAATAACGGGACCCAAAACAGCTGCCTTATTTGCACAGGTAACCCAGGAGGCTTGTTAGACTAGAATCCAAAGAACTGGGCAAACAGGTGTCCTGTGTGCCCGTGAGAGGGATTGGGCTCTTTTGTCTTGATCAACAGCTCTTCTGCACTACACAGCCCCCTGCTTGGGGACTTCCAGGAGTGGTTTGGGGGCATTGTCGCATAAAATCCCTCTGGGCATGCCCAAACCTTTGGATGTTCCTGAAGGAGCTCTTTCAGAGAGTCATAGATCATAGGATAAGGAACAATGTTAACCTCATCAAAGTGACGAATCTAGGAAGGAGGGCACAGAAGTGAGAGAACTGAAAGAGTTCCGTTCTACTACACTGCCTTTCGGAGGCTTCGATGTTTAAAGATTTGTATGAGGTGGATCTTCCATCTCTAATTGGGAAAGGGAAGTTTTGGATTACAACAAAGGGTCCTGTGTCACCTTAAAGACCAACAAGTTTTATTTAGCATCAGCTTTTCTTGAACTACAACCCACCTTATCTCCCTGCCAGTGGTTACTTACATGGTTCCCATGTGTCAGTTTTTAAATTATAAGTTACTAGTGGTAGAGACCTTTCACATCCTCGTATATGTAAGAGAAACAGTTTCTTAGAAATAGAATGAAAATATTAAATGTATTGTATTTGCAAAGGCTTTCATGTCTGGGATCTAATGGTTGTTGTGGGTTTTTCGGGCTCTTTTGGAAGTTAGTGCTACTCCTATCCCCTGAAGATGTCGGCCACAGAAACTGGCAAAATGTTTGGAAAAACAACCTCCAGAACATGACCAAACAGCAGGAAAAATCCACAACAACCATTAAATGTATTTTTGTTTGTTTTTATCTTTATATATTGCATTATTATTTCAAGTTGCCAGCAGTCTTCACTAACTTTGAGAGCTAAAGCAACTATTACACAAGACAAACCTTTTAAATTCTCCCAGTGGAATGAATTTGTTTCAGATTAAAAATACTGTAGAAGAGTGCTGAATTAAGCAGTGAAATGGCAGCAGGAGGGGCTGCTTAACTTTTTAACAATTTCCCAATTGAAACAAAAATCTCTTATGCCAAGTTGTCCCTCCAAATAGGATAGCACCTGGGAGAGTAGAGTCTGAGGGAGAACAGGAGTGTAGGGAAAGCATTAAACATTTCCCCACTATAGCTATTCTTCCACTCAGCCTAACAGACTCTTGTGGCTGAATTTCATTGAAGAAAAATAGATACTACATTTACTGAGTAATACCCAGTTCGGCCCCCTTCATGGATTGCTGCCTTGTCGTGGCGAAGGGGCTTGAGTAACTCAGAGAAGCTATGGGCTATGCTGTGCAGGGACACCCAAGACGGACAGGACATAGTGGAGAGTTCCGACTAAACGCAATCCACCTGGAGTAGGAAATGGCAATGCCACTCCAGTATCTTTGCCAAGAATGC